TCATCGAAACCGTGCACGATCTTTCCCAATCTATAAATAACCGTGGCCAAACGGACGTCATATTTTTAGATTTTGCAAAAGCATTCGATAAAGTGTCTCATCCTAAATTGTTGCTTAAAATTAACGCCTTGTTTAAGAACCCCATCATTACAAACTGGTTTTGCTCGTATCTTTCATCGAGAGTTCAATTCGTTGAGTTGGGAGGCTGTGTGTCTAGACCCGCTCCAGTTGCTTCTGGAGTTTCACAAGGTAGTGTGCTAGGACCGCTTTTATTTTTAATATTTATAGACGACATACGCTGTGGAATATCAGTTCCAATTAAGCTGTTTGCGGATGATTGTATTTTGTACAATAAAATAGAAACTGAACGAGATCAACTGAAACTGCAAAATGAACTCCTCAAAATCAAACATTGGTGCGACGAGTGGCAAATGGTGTTAAACCCTCGAAAATCAGTCGTTATGTCTATAACAAGAAAAAAACATATCCTAAATTATGATTACTTTATAGATGACACCAACCTACCTCGTGTAGATGAAAATAAGTACTTAGGAGTTACCTTTACAAGCGACTTAAGATGGAATACACACACGGAAAAAGTCTCCAGAAAAGCTAACCAGGGTACCTCAGAAGAAATCTTGCAAGTGCTTCGCCAGAAATAAAAACATTAGCTTATAAAACACTGGTGAGACCTAACCTTGAATACGCAAAAGTAGTGTGGGATCCATGTACAATAGCTAACTCGTCAAAACTTGATAAAGTCCAGCGGCTTGCTTCCAGGTTTATCTTTAATAAATATAATCGTAACCATTCCCCCACTGAACTCTGTAGACTCGCTGAACTTCCTTCTCTTGAATTAAGAACAAAGTGCGACCGCCTGAAATTTATTTTTTTGATCATTCATGGTCTAGTTAAGATAGACAAAAATAATTACATGGACGTACGCGTCAGTGAATGTACGAGACATCGTCATAGCATGCACATCAGGGAACCATCTGTCAAAAATGATTGTTTTAAATTTAGTTTCTTTCCTAGGGCAATAAAGGAATGGAACCAACTCCCGAATTCCGTCGTCAATATGACAAATGTCTTTGATTTTGTTAAAAATATAAAGAGTATAGTGCTTGATAATGTGCCGTGACTTTGTGTTTTGAATGTATTTCTTTTGCTTTTTTATTCCTCCGGGTGAATCACTTTTTTGAAGTGTCAGTGCATGATGGTTCTTTTACTTCTTGTATGTATTACCCCTCCTGTAAAGGCCTTGTAAAGGGCCGACAGTATCAATAAATAAAATAAATATTGTCTATTTGTAAAGTCAAAATATCACCTCGAAAATACAATGTAAAAATATACAGTTGAACCTCGATGTAACGAAGTCGGTAAAATTCGCAATTTACTTCGTTACATTGAAATTTCGCTAAATCGAAATTTGGCTTTAGCATGCAAAAAAAAAAAAAAATTCCGAAACATTTTACGGGTATGAAAACTCACCGAAAATGACATTTATTTAGGGGCAAAGTAGTCCGCGAGTTTTGCTTGCGCCTTGTCCGACAGCAGCAGCGGCGTCATACCCGTCATACGGCCTTCGAGCGCCCAGAGCGCTTGCACGGCATCTTGCTGCCCGTGCGACGCCGTGTACCTCCTCAGTACGTCCATTGCGTCGAGCACTTCCCGAGTGCTCGTGATCTCGGCAGTTTCTTCAGGATGGCGTCCAAAACGTTTGCTTTCTCATCCAAAAAACAGAACTTTACGTTTCCTTATGCCAGCAAGCACGTGAGCGAACCGCCCGGTTGAAAAATAAAGCTGTTTAGTTTAGGCGGTGCCAATGTTTCCAACCTACACAGCACTCTTGACCGCACAGTTTACTTGCCCCCTTGCGCCCACAGTGTGCTTGCGCCTTTGCTTTACTACAGCTTTACATCACGCTCGCAAGACGATAATCGGTCTTCTCGGTCTTCTCCTAGATGACACTGCCCGTGCGGTCGCGCGCGCCATCACGTCGCTCCCCCGCTGAAGTTGGCTCCCGCGCTACCCGCGGTACAGTGGACTATGATGATCAGTGAATGTCAGTGGTGATGCTGTTATGCCGTGTTAACTTTTTGCTCGGCATTTTCTGGCCAGCCCCGCGGAATCCGCTTTGCCGCATGCCTCGCCGGCGCTACCGGCGCCGCATCCTCGGGCAGCCTAGGAACGTTGGAAGGCCTGTCCCCGTGAAGTAACCTATCAAGCGCTCGCGTTAGCGCGTAATTTTTTTTTTTAACCACAATTTTTTTGCGAAGTTATTTTTTAGAGTCTATTTATTTATTGCCTTTTATGGCAATGGCGCTTCGTTATATTGAAATAGCAGCAATATAGACTTCGTTATATAGAGACTAAAACTACATGGGGTCTATGGGCAAGAAATTATGAAAAATAAAATACTTCGTTAAATCGAGGATTTCGTTACATTGAAGTTCGTTATATCGAGGTTCGACTGTAGTTGCCTTGTATGTTTGTATTGAACTTCACCACCCGGGAGATTCGATACACAGAACTGCGTGTCGCGCCTTCGTAGGGAGGTTTTTCCCCAACACGACTGTCCACGGGCAGCGAAAGTTGCAAAGAGACAGAGAAGAAAAAGAACACTTCGCCTCAACTCTTGCTGCTTGACTTTTGTTTTCATGAAGGAAGAAAAAGATTTTTTTTTTACCTGTCCCACTCTTTAAATTTTTTCTTTTTTAAAAATTTGTTGCGTTTCGCCGTTGGTGTTGTTGACGTTGCAGCCATGCATGCGCGTAAAGGCGGTGTGGCTCCAGTCAACTAAGCTTTAGCGAGGCTGTGATGATAGAATCATTGACACCCGCTGTCGCGTTGCTGTTGACGATGCCCGGGGATGCTGCTGTTGCCACGTTGCACCTCTTTCTCATAGCTGATCCAAGGACGGTGACGCTTAGAGTAGAACTGGTTTAATATGCGGTGTATTTACACAATATTTACAAAATAGACTAAGGTGCAGTTCATTCTTCAAACTCCACGGTCGCTGCTCAGATATCACTCTCTCTCTGAACCTCTCACCGGCTCCCTGGACTCATTCTCAATATCTCAAATCTCTCTCGATCAATCAAACTCCCCCACTCGACTCTCCCACAAACTCCCGTCTCTGCCCTCTACGGTCTTCCCTCGCTCTCCTCCTCTCACATTCCCGTCTTTTCTACCCGGGTAGGAAGCGTCCCTCTTCTTCAATTACAGACTCGCCCCCTTCCAGGGCTGTTCCCCTCTCCGCCCACTTCCGAGAAAACACGGCGTCCCCAAAACCCAGTCTCCGGACGGCTTTCCCAGCTTCCGCTTGGCAGCTTTGTTCGGGTCAAGCCGGTCTGTCCACGACTCAAGAGAGCACCTTCCCGTGCCACCCAGTTTCATGACAAAGGCTCTGCAACATTAGTGCTTATTGGAAATTTTATTAGGGCAAAAGCTTTATATGTTCAGTCCTTGAGCGAAAACACGTCGGCGACGCAAAAGGTACGAAAACCCCCAGTTCGCCACTGGACCATGGGATGGCGTTACTTGTGCCAGAATGTGTGTGGAGGCGTGAGCGTGGAACAAACCCAGCGGGAGAGAAGGACGCTAGCTCAGGCAGTGGTGAAGAGCGGGCATGCGACATGCCGGGAGATTAACGGCGCCAAAAGTGCGTCGTCAGAGAGCGCACTGTCTTCAGAAGTTTGCTATCACCAGGATCGGCGCTTGGACTTTGGCCTTCAAATCGTCTTAGGGATAACGTAAGAAACCCTGTGTATTTGGCAAGCTCCCGTTGGTCACAATCTTCGCTATTAACAAAGACGCATAGATATTTCAACTGGTGCTTCAATTGACATACTTTTGTACTATATTGGATTATCAATATATTCAACTATTTTACAATCCCCATTGAATTCCCTACATCCGGGTTCGACCGCACACTCTGCGGGTGGAGAATATACTGCTTCTTTGTGTTTATCGAGGGCTTGCTACCAGTCTCGAGCCGCCCGAGATTGCCAACGTCTGCCTCTATGTCCCGTCGCTTAGAGGTGGCCAAAGTGCACGGTATGGCAGACTTTTTCCCTAGATCTATCACACAAACAGCCTTTACCCATGTCACGCCGACCATATGGGCGTGACGGTTGAAGGCCGTTGCTGTTGTCATTGGAGGCAGTTTTTAATGACTGCGGGTCATCACGTGGTGTAGATTCGAGATACGCGACGATCAGAAGCCTGAGGAGGTGCTCGGAGCTTTTTGGCGACAGAATGCGGAGCTATTGATGGTTTGGAATAAAACGTTCAATTTATCTCGATCTTGTGGACTAAGTCAGAATACATGAAACGAGTTTCCGTTGCCTTGTTCATTCTTCCCCCGGGACTATGCTGGCCGCGGCAGTCACCCTATCAGATCATGTTGATGCAACAAAAATAGATTATGTAAATACACCGAATACATTATGTTAATGTACCCCTTTACACACTCTGGTGCATAAGTGGGTGCATAACATTCCTCACACAGATGGGACCTAAACGTAACCAGAGAAAGACGGAGAGGGCTTCGCTCATTATATATTGCAACCAATGCGTTGGATCTGCCACATTTTTTCCTCAATTATAGCGCATTATTTTATTCTAGACTCTATCCTTCTTATACGACGGTGGGCGTGTCTTGGATTTCTCATTTCTTCCCACAAGCAGTTTGAAAGAAAATGCCGAATGCCGGCGTTAGTAGAGACCACCGTGGTAGAGACAAAGCGAGCTGGCTTTGCGTCAACCGGACAATCGGTACAGAGGTAGAATGTTGAGCTCATAGTCATGAATTCGATTCCCGTATGGACACATCTAGAATTTCATTCTTTCTTCCCAATTACCACCCTTTCGTACAGATTGACCTCCGAGGTACGCGCTACACCTTTCCCAACGCTTTCCGTGGCAATCCACCACACTTTCCCCGGGGATCCCAGCCCTCGAATGCATTCTGCGTTCAAGCGCTGAAGTCCACTCACGGGTATGGGCTGGGGGTCGTTGAGGTGGTCCCCCAGAAGCACCAGCACGTCGGGCATGAAGGGGGGCACGTCGTAGGGGAAGGCGTTGACGCACGCGCACAGCCCCAGCACCCCGGCATGGCGCTCCCGCACGTCCGCAGGGTCCAGGGGCAACGGGGGGCCGCCGCCCCGCCCCCGCCGCTTCTTCTTGGTGCACTGCGCCCGGAAGGAGGCCTGCACGGCACATGCGCGCTCCTTCAAAGCCTTCGTCGAGGAGAGGCGGCCGGAGCGGCTTCGGGCTAGAACTACACTGCCTAGAACGCGTCCCAGACTGCCTCGTTTACCGCATTAAAGAAAAAAATTTTCTCTTCTCCGTTTTCGCTTGGCAACGTCATAAAAGTGTGACTGTGTTAGCCGCAATACCGGCGATGTCGTGTCGGCGGTGGCGGATGTGAAAGACGCCTGTTCGACTGCAGGTTGCTCTCCAGCTTCACGACCCACAAAAGCCTCGGCAGTCGGCAGGTGGGATGCCATGACGGCACTCGTATTTGCTCGTACTTCTTGCCGGGACTGCTAGCCCCAACCTCCAGGATCGCAGCATCTGAAAACATGACACCCTGGCTTTTGCTACGTTACATGCGGCCCCTTCAAGACCCCTTTTGATGTATGGGCGGAATAAGATGCTAGACGCACGAGTCAGACTCGCTCCAGGCACCATACTAATACAAAGTATAATATGAGACATGAATTCAAGATACCTTGGCTTGGGACAACTTATAAAAATTACTAATAAACTTAACACCTCAATAAAGAAAAGATCATCTACATGTTACAGAAATAATACCAAATAGTGCTTCATATTAGACATTCAGAACCCACGTAAAAAGGTACCTTCTGTTATGTCCCACAGAATAAACTTAGTTTGTCAATTTTCCCCCCGCAAACTTTGAGATTTTCTCTGACTGCTTCTCTTCAATGTTGCCACTGTAGAAAATAAGACAAATACTTTTACAAAAATACAGTCAGTGCACAGGCGAGCTGGTGGAAGTTTACCATGCTGACTTTAACCCGGGACTGAGGCAGGACGAGGAAACATTTTGACAGTGGTAAAAAAGAAAGAAAGAAAAGAAACAAGGACAGACAAAAACTCCGTTTCTTTTTCTAAAATACCCGTGGCAGACAACATCGAACAGATGTTGCTTGTCCGCTTCTTTTTCTACCACTGTCAAAATGTTCAGTCTCGGGTTAAAGTCCATCATGGTGTACTTTCCATTCTTTGCAGATGTACTAATAAGATTACTAAATTTGTGCTGTTGTTTTCCGCCACTGCTACATTTTGCCTAGCTTGCCAACACAGTGTACTAGGGTGAGCGGGCTTCCTCGGGCAGAGTACAGTGTAGACCGCATATAACGTATGTCGCAGGAGTCGCGAAAATCTGCACTATAAGCGGTACCGCGCTATAACCAAAACACCAATTTTTCAGGCCAAAATACATGCCATGAGACAACTTACCTTTGTAAAACAATTTATTTTATGTTAGATGCAAAATAAAGCTTTAGTTTGAGGAAAGACTAGTACACTTCTCTCTCAAGTGTGTCACACATTTTGAAAGAAGTAAGCGACTTTTGTGCCTGGCACAGCCTTTTAACGGCGTTGCGGGTTGCGGACGGACGTTGCGAGCGTTCAGGATTGCTAACCCTAATCACTTTTCTCCGGTGATGAAAACGCGTGAAAATTCGCATCCTTTATACGGTACGCGCCAGTAATACCTTCAACTTGAGTACACGCATGAAATACTCCAAATAAGAAATCCGGGCGATGTTCGAGGACACAAATGCTTAGAAAGCACCACTGTAGTCGAAGTAAACAAACACAATGACACGGGCGTTTCTGCCATCTTGAGAGTGCCGCCACGACATCGCCGCACGAGTAGGTGGATCTTCCCTTCTAGTACGTGCTCGGTTATCATAGCGACACGCAACGAAAATTTAGTCAGGGATAGCGCTTTTATGCGGAACGATGAGCTTCCACCACGCCGTCTACATCGACGATCACCACCGACGCCATGTTTGCGGATAGAAGAAGCCGGCCCGTGACCGGCATGCGACGCGTGCGAACACTTCCCCTCGACCTGCGATTGGTCTGTCGTTGCGGTTGTTTTCAACCATGTTTCCAACGCAGCCACGCAGAGGAGGAAAGTTGGGCTGGTGGGGCTTGCTCCATCGTTGGCTCGCTCCAACGTCTTGCATCCTTGCGTCGTGAACGACACGTGCGTGCGTCCCTTTGTCGCTATGGCAACTGAAGCCTCTCTCTTCGCTTCTCCCCGCTTCTTCGAGCAACCTGCTTGCCATCCTGTCCCCGCGAGTGCCGCTTGCGGCTAGCGCCGTTATCTAGTGTCGCACAAGGAAGCGTGCTCGCTGTGCTAGTCGATCGGCGCGCTGTTCCAGAAACCGCACTATAACCGGCATTTCCCTTTGAGCGCCTGCATTTTACGTTGTATATAATTACATGGGGTTCTATGGGAGGCGAACCGGTGGTTTAAGAAGCCGCGTTATACCCGGTCCTGCACTATAAGCGGTTACGTTGTAAGTGGTCTATACTGTATCTGCTTTTCGCCCTCTCCGCCAAGTGCCCAAACATGGAAAGAGGGAAATAAGCATTGTCATGTTCTGCGCAACAGCCGCCTCCCACAGCCTGCTTTTGGCCAATCCCGGAGAACAGTGGCGGGGCTTAATCGAAGCGATACCAAGGGCGAAATGCTGCATCTTTTATGTGACTTACATGAGGCCAGCAAAGAAAGGTCTCAAGTGCTGTGCGATCGTATGACTGAGACTGGACAAAATTTCCACGCTAAATTTAGCAAAAAAATTCCTGCCAAATTTAGCGAAAATTTTCTCTCCCAAGTTTAGTGGGAAAATTTTACCCTCGTGACGTCACACGTGACATCATCATGAGAAACGTCGAATAATGCAACGCGTTGTTACGCCGATGCGACGCCAACGCCGCTCAACCTGGAAACAGGCGCCTAAGTGCTGCACTCTAAAAAGCTTACGATGGACTGCCACGTTTTGTATCGTCGCAATGTGGCAGTCGGTTTTATAGCTTAGCATGCCGAAGGCACCGCATGCAGCATTATCCCTTTCGACTAGCACGAAACTGGGACAGCTCATTTTGTTGCTGACTGTACACACGTGAGAAGATAAGATGGGCGAATTAAACAACCTGTCAACTAGGATTGCCATGTCTCTCCAAAAAAGCAATTTTGAGAAAAGAAAACACTTCTCTGTTTAGCCTCATGAAATGGTGGAACGTAGCCATTAAAAAAGATGAATTAAATTTAGCATGCTCGGGTTGTGCTCTTCGTATTTATCTATTTAATTATCGAATATACCCTCAAAAATGCTAGAGATGCAGTTCACGAAAGACACTGTACTCAATGTCTTCCGTGAACATCTGTAACGAGTCAAATGTCCGTTTAATTTACCCGAGCTAAAGCCCCTCAATGTGCCTGCGTTTGTTTTACGAGTAGCATCGAATGAACCAGCGTATGATGTGACCGGTCGTCTCGAGCAGACTTTGGAAGCAGATGGCAGCGCAGCACTCGCTTGTGGCACGTGTCTCGTGCATTCGTGCAACAATGGTCCCAAGTATTTGCAACAAATGCAAGGCGCGAATTTTATCGAGACGCTTTAACCTCAACTCGTTGGAGAGGAGGCACAGTCTACGAAGAGGCACACTTAATCGAATTAGGTGTTACCGCCACTGGCCCCGTCCTCTTGCTGTAAGACCTTCGGGATCCAAACTAATTTGGAACTGTTTGAGGAATTGGACGAGATTCTTTTTAGAATGCAGTCTATGCCATATTTTGCGATCTAAACAATCCCTACCAATTACATGCAGTCTGACCCAAGTCGTTCGAGGGAGAAGAGCAAAAGCCGTCGTGCTCCTACCCATTCCGCAAATACTTTGTCGTCACCTCCGACAAGCAGAAGGCAAGCCTGAGGTTTGGACTTTCTCGTTGTCACACCTAACGTCGACAGACACTCACCAGTAGCTCGTCGGTGACCTTGAGGAACTCGCAGTGCAGCAGGCCCCCCAGGGTCTCGGCGGCAGTTTCTCGGACCTATGAGCAAACGGAAGGACGTGCACACGGATCGGGTGAAGTTCCGGCTGCCAATGCCTCAACACAATGCCTTGCCTCGTCCTTTAGCGCAAAACGAGGCCGTCATTTTATGCTTTGGTCACCTACGAGTGGACGGCTCCGTGGAAGCTACGCGATCGCTCTTGCAGCCGACTATTAGCCTCGTACCGTGCATATTCGAAGCCCCTGGTTGTCTGGCACACAATGGACGATAGACCTTTTTCAAAATTCCACCGAGCAACCGTGGTGGCCGCCATTGCTCGGGCATGAAGCTTGCGATTGGTTCAGAGTCCCTGTCAAATGCCCGAGGCAGTCCTCGTTCTCGATATGAGCCGAGTTACGCCGAGCACCGACACAGCCCTGGTGCCTGATGCATGCTCGGAGCGCGTGCCCAAACAATGACCAATTCGGATAACTGGTGTCGCAGCAACTTCGTGGCGTGCACTTTTGGAAAGGGTCTATCTCATAATAGACCCTGCTCATATTTCCCTATCTTTGCAGTTTCAGGCTTGCTGAGTCCTTCGTATCGATACCTGAGGCTCGCATTTCTCCGCTACTTTTGCCGATACTGTCACATGTGCAGAAGAGCCTGTCTTGCACCGTCTGGCACCGTGCCCGCAGCCGTCCGAGCGGTAGTGAATCTAGCTCGGTTCATAGCACTGTGCCAGTGCCCCGCAACACGCTGTCCCGCCGTGTCACATAAATTAATGTTTTCTGAAGATTCTGTCCTTTTCTCGACTGCTTTCCAGCATTTGAGAAACTGAAATGCCGAACAAATGGCTGGCAAATCTTGTTTTTGCAGATACTCAAGCAAATGCCAGGTTCCACAGTGGAACTAAAGAAAATCTCCTACCTATTGAATCAAGAATATGCAAATGTCTTCCCCAGTAAATTTGGCAGACAGCAGTCCCGTGACACCGTCGGTGTGCTGGATGTTAGGTGTCACGACACCACTATGTAACAGTGATGTCTCGTGACACTGTGACTAATCTGCATGTAACATTAAGGCACTTATTACCGAGGTAAGGTAATGCGATTGTGTAACCCCATCATAAAAACCCGAGAGTGGGAACAAATGAAAGAACGGACAAGCACACACCATCTCACAAAAGCACAGGCACCGTTTTTGAGACCGTGTGTATGCTTTCTTTTTTTCTATTTGTTCCCAGTCTTGGGTTTCATTATAGAGTTGGTTCATCAGCTTGCCTGCATTCTTTCACTTTCGTCGCTGATTGTGTAACTGCGTTGGATATAGTGGTTACGCAATCACAGAGCTTACGTGATTACATGACAAGATGTGACCCCTCCCAACATTGGTGGGAATACTGTTTTGCGGTGACACTAGTACAGTACACCCGTAGCAACGTTATTTCGAGCTGCTCTGTGAGGGGTGGGCGAGGATTGGACAACAATGCAAGGTCCGAGGACCTGTTCCCGGCGAGGGACCAACTGTTCTCTGTAAAGACAGCTGGCTGCGTTATCCCGCTTTCAAAACCAGCCCCATAAACACATACTGCACCAATGAACGTTCGTAACGAAGGGCCTGGATGTGAATGCAGGGCCAACAATGTGCGGAAAATTGAAGTGTTCCTTGAGATTGAAAAGTGTGAGATCCAAACTGTAGTGCTGAACTGGAAGCAGACTGGCTTGAGCGCTCAACAGAGGCTCACATTCATTGGGTGAGGATGCGAGCCAAAGGCCGATGCGGTAGTCGCATCCAACCTGTGCCCCGGAGTGGCCTCCTCTAGGTCGGAAATTGTCAGAGGTGCCCACCCACCTCCAGACGGGGGTCCCTGAGCAGGGCCAGGGTGTGTCCCACGACGGCCTCTCGCCACCGGTCGCAGCTCTGCATGGTGAACAGGTTGGAGAACACCAGGAACTGCAGGAAGTTGCAGCCCGCTGCCCGGGAGTGCCACAAGGGACTGTTCATCACCTGCGCCAACCAGGGAGGGAGTCCTCGTGAAGAAGCGGCACCGTCTAGGCAATTCGCGCGACCTGCCACAAACTACCCTCGAGTTTGAGCGAGGTGTACCCTGCGTAAATGCTAGTCTAGCTATTGGAAAGAAAGCCAACCGTCGCACCCCCCGGCGGCCAACCTTGGAACTACACCCGTGGGGACGACGGACGACGCGGTGCTTGGCCGACGTAGCCGTACGCTACGCTGGCGTTTGGCTTGGGCTCGTCCTCTCCCATTGCCCGTGTCTGGCACCTGCTTGGCACAAAGGCCAAAGTGGGTCAAGCTCCCACCCTCCTCAGACTGCTTTCGAAAGACACCTGGCTTGTCGCGTCACGCCACTGTCACTCCCCGTTTGCTGCCGACACTTTTCATGCTTCACTGCGCCCCCACTCTGTCAAAAAAGATGACATAAAGTATAGAGTCCACGGGCTTTGTCCCGGGTAAACACCTAGCTCTGGTGATAAGAAACTGGGCAGAGCGCCCCCTATAGCTCTATCACCTTGCCAATAGCCAGCTACCCACGGAATAAACGCCACCTGGAAGAATTTGGAGCCTGTCAGGGTTAGTGGGTTTGAGAAATAATTGTTGATCGCTCGTAGTTCCTCGAATTCATGCAAACCAAAATGTGCTGCGGTTTATTTAAACCAAAGGGGGGACGCGGGTCTTAAAAAAAAAAATAATCGAAAAAAAAAAATATTTTTAGAAAATTAAATTTTTGAAGTCTACATATTTCAAACTATATCTGTACAAAATATCTATGCTCAAATCAATCGCAAAGTATAAAAAAAAAAAACCAGTATTTTGAGGCCGGAACAGCTCTTTAGTGAAGCACGAACTTCAAAATAACGCCCCACTTCACACAACCGCGATTCCAAAACTGCTCCTCCAACCGCCGCCATTTTGGTATGGTTTGAAAGCTGATTTCGCGCTCTTTTGTTTGCGCTTTTTCAATATAACATCAGCGCAGCATGGCCTACACTACGGCCGTTCTCCCGCAGCACAATTTCAGACACTCATTAGGGAGTTTTCGTAGATCGTTTTCGCCGTCCCGCAACGCCCTCTGCAATCCGCTACGATACCTGGGACTCTACAGTCAAGGCCATCGGCGCACAGGCGCAGTAGCGGCTTCTTCGAAGCGGAGGGCTTAGCGGAGGGGGAAACATGGTCTACGAAAACTCCCTATTGGCCGAAGCTGGCAGGAATGTGCTCTTGCCATTGGCTCCTCTCTCCCTTCATCTCAAATTTCCTTCACTTTGCGCGTCTTCCTCCTCCCCCGTTCACTCCTTCAGTGTCTTCAGGGCTCTTCCCAGCTCTCCGTCGTACGCTGCATCGTCTGCTTCTGCTTTCAAGCTTGCTTTCGTTTCGCGATCAGATTGCTTCTAAAAGTTTATCTAGCATTGTTTTTCTCGATGTTTGTCAAGGCTGTGTGAGTGTTTTTTTTTTGTTCTTGTGCATTTCCGTACTAGTACTAAACGCTTCTCGTGAACTTTTCGACAGTGTTGTATTGCATAATCGGAGAAATGTGGTTGCTCTGAAGACCCGCGCTTTGTTTGAACGTTTTGGACGGCGATCGACATGGCCGACAATCAGTGCTTGAAATCGCGAACGCGCCAAGCACATGGGAAAAAACATAAATGTGCGTGGAATAAGGGTGAGCGCGAGTTGACTCAAGTTGTACTGAAAGCAATGCAGTCGGAGCTGCAGGCACAGGATCGCATAGACACCGATCCCGAAGTTGCCGATCAAGGAGGCGCCGATTGAGAAGTCTTCAATCACAAAGTCGCCAATCACGAAGATGCTGATCACGAAGTTGTTGATCACAAAGTCGCCGATCCCGAAGGCCCCAATCCCGAAGTCCCCCGATCCCGAACTCTCCAATGCCGAACTCTCCGATTTCGAAGCGACACCAAGTACATCTGGTCTGAGCGGCAATCGGATCGACACCACATATTTTACAGCCGAAAAGCAGTCCGAGCTTTTGAATAAAGTAGAAGAGACAGAGCGCCGTTTAGCAGCACAGTCCGCAAGAAAATTCAACCTGCTCAATGTTGATCTTGAGAACACTGAGACCGAGCGTGGAACCGAATTTATAATCGTCGACATGGCAGTGCTGAATGCGCTTTTCTCGCGTACGAAGTGTGGACAGTGTGGTGCCAGCACCGCCACCTTGAAGAAAGAACGCAAGGACTACGGACTTGCGCACAAGCTCGTGTTGGTGTGCTCCACCTGCCAGGTGCGCGAGCAGCGCTTCTCCTCACCGAGGGTGTCCGGCAGCGCCAAGATAACGCCTTGAGGTGAATATCAGATCAATGCAGGCAGGGCAGAGCATTGGGAAGGGGGCCACTGCGCTCACAGACTTTTGGGCATGCATGAACATCTCGCATCGTGGCATGCACCACAAGACCTTCAACACTCACTTAGACGAGATGCTCCAAGCATCTTTGACAGCCGCTGCAGCATGTGAGAGTGAAGGTGCTGCAGTAGTTAAGGAGCTCTACAAGGGCTTCATGAGTCCTCCAGGTAACATCGATGTGATTTTTGATGGGAGCTGAAAGACACGAGGCCACGGCTCTCACATTGGTGTGGGCTGCATCATAAAACTTTATACTACCGGGCTCGTGAATGACCACGAGGTCGTTTCAAACTTTTGCCTGGGATGTACGGTGGGACCAAACCCTGACGAGGAGGCCTTTGAAGAGTGGCAAAAGAAGCACATGTGTCAGATGAATGTCAACTGTAAGGCGGGCCGCATGGAAGTGGAGGAGGCCCTCACCATGTTTCGTCGGTCCCTGTCGAAGCATGAGCTGAGATACACAACCATTTTGTCAGATGGCAACAGGCGCACTTTTCACGCCCTGACAGAAGAGGAAGGCAAAAGAAGGACTGCCTCAACCATGTCCATAAGGAAATGGGAGCGGCCCTGCGCAGTCTGGTGGCGACGAAAAAGGCTCAACAAGAATCTCTTGGAGGGAGGGGGAGGCTGACTCGAGATAAAATTTAAAAAATAGAAAATTATTATGGCTACGCTCTAAGAAGCCATAAGCACGATGTCCCAGCCATGAAGAAGGCAGTACAAGTGACGCTTGTACATATGACTTCCACAGATGATGCACCTGATCACAGCCTGTGCCCACAGGGTACAGACTCCTGGTGTAGCCACAACCGTGCACTTGCCGACGGAAAAGAGCCACCTGCTCATAAGAAAGCCCTGCCTATAGAGGTCTGTGTGGCTCTAGAGCCTGTGTTTGCCCGGCTGAGTGATGAAGCCCTCCTCCAACGGTGCAGTGACGGAATGACCCAAAATGCAAGTGAATCTCTCCACTCTGTGATCTGGAGTCTTGCACCGAAGACCCAACATGCCTCTCTGTGTAGTGTGCAGAGGGCAGTGGCAGAGGCGATCTCCGGATACAACCAGGGTGTACTAAAGACAAACCAAATTGTCACGGAGTGTCTGGGCTTTGCCCCCGGACAATGTCTCGCTTGAAGGAGCCTCGAGAAAGACCGAGGCCACCTGCGCAAGGCTACCAAAGCCCGCTCAGAGAGCGAATTGACAGTGAGGAAGCTTGCCAGGAGGCACACAAGGACCAGGAACCAGGACTACAGCCCTGGGGTGCTCCGAGTGCTTGTAGACTTGTACACAAACTTCAAGTGCTTTTATCTCCGTTCATATTTTTGGGAATACAGCTACAGCCTTACGGGGCTTTTCTCAGGCTTGCCTTGGCCAATCGAAACAACTATGGTATCATTTTATTCTGAAAAGCTGGAGCTGTGTGGTGATGCTATTTTTGTTGCTTCACATGTCATACAATAATTTTAATTAATTAGTCTAAAAAAGATATAGACTCCCGTTTTGTGCAACTTGGTTGCAAATGTTTTTTTACCAATGTAATATCATTAAATCAGGCTTAAAATAGCATCACTGCACAAAGCATGTCTTGGGGACTCCAATTCTTTAAAAAATTCTGATATATTCTGAAACATTTTATGCTAACGACCCGTAAGAAGGACTCAATTAAAATGACAAATTTATTGATAACTCAGGATCTACCGTAATATCCCGAGTCATCGCCCACCCCCCTACCGCCTGAAATTCGTTAAAAAAGTGGGGTGGACCATGTCTCGGTGGGTGAGCACAAACACTTAAAAAAAAGCGGAAAAAACCGCCTATTTTTCTCTGCGTATCTAGCGCTGATGCACAAGAGATACATCAAACTCAAAACTCGATTTAGTTTCATTGTTTTATAGAAAAAAATGCTCACGAAAGAATATTTTATTATAGCGAAGTCCGTTGCATGCATAAGCGCTAGAAACACCGCCGATCTGCATATAGCGCGAACGTTTGTTCCGTGAAAGAATGTCACCATTATGTTCTCCTAGTTAGTAAAAAAAAAAAAAAAAAAAAAAAAGAAAAGTTTACAAGAAAATAGAAAAACCGACCAGGCGCAACGAGCGAGCGAGCGGACCAAAGAAGCGACCAAGAGCAATGCTGGAAAAGCGAGAAAGCCGGCGGTCGCGTTGGCAAATACTTTGGCGTCGGGCCAAGTCGGGCGCCTTGTCAATTGCAAGCTCTTGCGCAACTTGTTTGGTGCGTACATACGTGCGTCCGTGCACGGCAGGCTATCATTGCACGGTTGGGACGCTCCGCAAACGTCTGTGTAGGACGTTTTAGCAAAGCTTTATTTACGCTTTGCTTTGCCTAAAATATTGCACAACCGCGGTCGCGACGGGCGGGAAGAAGGAGTGGGTTCGCGGTGACCTTACTTCGGCGGAGACAGACTTTGACCTAACACTCCGCGGTTACGTTAACAAACTCTTCTTTTGTTATCTCCATCGTTTTCTTTTCGCACGGATACACGACCACTTTGGGGTCGCTCACGGAGGAAATGCGTAAACAAAAAGAAGTGTCTTTCCCTCCGTCGTTTTACTTTGTCACGGACGTCCTCCAACTGTAAGGTCCGCGGCCGCGTCATTCGGGTAGGATGAGTGTTCGCGGATCGCAGAGTCCGCGCTGGGGTATTTGAAGGGGTGGGCGATGACTCGGTGTTTTTTCGGAAATCGATATTGGCCCAGAAAATGGGGTGGGCGATGACTCGGGGATGGGCGATGACTCGGGATATTACGGTAGTAGAGCTATCTGAAAACTAATTGCATATTTGAAATCACCACTGAGAAGTGCATCAGTACACTATATTTGAGCACAATAAATGAAAAATGAAAAATAAAAAGTTCTTCCCCCCTTAAACACTCATTACGCGTACATAAACATGGCACACCAGTGTATCGTGTATGAACAACTCCGGAGAACGGGTCAGAGCAAACACAGGCAGTAAGGCACCGCAGCTTGAAACGGGAACAGCAAGAGGTGGCGCTGCCGGACACTGGGATCCTTGGTCCAACTTTCAACCCCCCCTGTTTCAATCTGCATGAACATCGTACCGGCACGACTTTGTGTATCGCTGCTAGATGGCGGATGTTAAGGACCCCTGGCTGTCAGTGGCACTGCACTGGCCGTCGTGCCACAAATTACCTTTTTCTGGGACCAGCAAAGTTCGAACCTTCCACTTAAGATGTCAGTTACCTTTATCAAATTGTCTCGTAATCTCTGCATCCTCCAGCCAAAAGCTGTTTGGTATAATGATGCAAATGAGTGTTCCTGAGAATATAGTGATTTGTTGCACTCTTGCATTTCCTCCAAAGTTCTCTCAGTCCACTCAGCAAAGTGCTTCTTCCACTCAGGTGCCACCCAAGCACGAGTGAACCGCGAACTCACGCACTGATTTGAGCCTCGCAAGTGCAACTTTCTGACAAATTTGCGATGCGCTGAATCTAATATCGGTGTTGTTTCCAAACCGTGGCATTACGAAAGCAAAGACGGCCGGTACATGTAGAGGAAACCAAGTACCTCATAGATCTGCAAGGAGAAAAGGCCGAGAAGGAGGAGGCGGTGCAAAAAATCGGAACGAGCGCTCGCACGACAGAGTTTCAAGAGTCGAGTCGGCGAAAATCCTCTTTTCGCCCACATGTTTGGGTCCCTGAGTGCTCCTCGTAATCCTTCCCCAAAAGGAGGAGTGCAAAGGAGGGGGACTGGAATGACGGATGCTCTGCAAGCCGGTCGAAAATTCCCCGCTACTCCACGCGGGCTCGGTTCATTAGCGAACATCCATGAGGCGGCGCACGTGGCCCCGAAACTCGACGACGTTTAATCCCCTCCTAGGAGAAAAACTCCGTAGCACGAACATGCTGTTAGCTGCCCATTCTCTCTGTGCACATCTAATCTTGTCCCGTGTGCCTCGTTTTTTCAGTCTTCGACAATGGTGCATGAGCAGCAACGGGCGCAGCAAGTCCGTGCTCCGGAGAGCGAGAGCTTGGCACTCCGTTCACCAAACGGACAGGAGTGCTACCAGAGATTCACACTCGAGCACGCTCTCCATGCATCGTGTGTGGTCCATCGCCAGTTCTCTTTTATTTCTTTTCTTTGTTGTTATTTTTTTTTTTTGCCGACGGTCAGGCCACTTGGTGCCAAAGTCGGCTCGTGAAGCTTTCTCAGTGCGTACTCTCAAAGCGCTTTTCTGTAGCGTTGTGTGCAATCTATCTTGCACTACCTTGCGCATCAGAAAGCGCAAATTCTCTTTTCATTTATTTTGTTATTTTTCTTTACCGCCGACGGTATGGCTGCCCAACGCCAAAATCAACTCGTAAAAATTTTTTTTTTTAGAGCGATTTTTCGGGGACACGACGTTTCGTGACGCTGCTTTGCAGAGCATGCTTTTGGACACGCGTTTTAAGCGCAGACGGCAGTAGACCATCCGAGAGTACTCTGGACAATAAAAGGAAGTTTAATTTTAACCGTTTTTCTGTCCTTTTTTTAATTCAATCATTCGGATAATTCAACCTAATTGCAAGGTCCCGTCGAGGTCGAATCAACGAAAGTTTACTGTACCGCAGATGGTGGACAAGGGGCACATTTGCGTGCCACGACGCGATAAACACGAAAAAACCCGTCGCAAACTTGCTCGTCACTTGTGCAGGTGCCACAGACCGCACGGTTGATGCGTTTCCCATCGGGCATCGCGTGATCACCATCCGGCGGGAATTGGGGGTTGGGCGACGTTTCGGACCTATTATGTTACGGATGTTCAGCTCCAAAAACGGGATGGACAATCTCTCGGGGGCAGGCATTTGTACTAGATCTTACGGTAGGCATAAATCGAGGAAACACCAACGAAGGTGCGGTCAACACATTGGTCGGAGATGTGCCGCAAGCACCGTACCGGGGGTGGGCACCCACCTCCTTGACGATGTCCAGTGCGGCCTGGATGCTCTCCCTGGGAAGCAGGGCATTCCCCAACAGGGCCAGGGTCACCGCGCAGTCCTTCTGCAGCTCCTCGTCAGTGTTGTCGCTCTGCATCTGGCACAACTGCAGACGGGAACACGGCCCACAATCGTGCACAGTCACACTCGTAAAGAAAACCAAGCAAACATATACGGGCTATTCCACCAAAAAATGATTGCTATCGTACTAGTCGCTCTCAAAGGGTCCTCCTTGTTGATGTGCACAGCCCTTAAGGTAAGCAAGTTTTTGGTCAGTTTTGTTACCCTTTTAAGTAATAAAAATTAGCGCATACTTACAATAACATACTGATTGAGCATCATTGAACATCACAAAATCAGTCAATATCCAAAGAGTTTCAAGGGCATGCTTAGTTTTTCTTACAAGTACCAAAGATGCCTCCAACCTCGACGCACCAACGTGGTTGTTTTATTTTTTTGTCACCCGCACGCTCCAGCAGCCTCGCGTTTGTAGTGTAGGCGATAACTTTTGTGCTGATGTAGTGCTCGCTAATGACGCTCAGCAAGTTCCCAATTGTGTTCATTTTTACTCATTAAAAGTAACTAATTAAGGATTTGATTAATTGAACCACTATGTACCTGACTAAACCCACCTCTTGGCAGTGACCAACGGGGCTACAATCGTTTATGCGTGCAATACATTATTTTTACCGGAAAACCGACGCTTAGTGAAACACCCGGTATAGTAGGAGACCAGAAAAAATTGCCTTATTTCATCGGGAAACTAAAAACCACTTTGGACTCGTGAGAAATCAAAACAACCAAACCAAAAATCCCTCTTACGCAAGTACCCTCGCACGCTTCTACCGTACATGCAGCTCACTAACGCCACCTTGCACGGTTCGGGGAATCGAATACAGTTGAACCTAGATTTAACGAAATCACCGGGACCCGCTAATTATTTCGTTAAATCGGGAACTTGGTAATATTAAAAAAAGACATTTTTCGGGCATAGGCTGCGCGGAGAATCCGAATTTGTTCTTTGAAGCGGGAAATTTGTGAAATCGGGTTTTGTTAAATCGACGTTGAACAGTAACTCGCAAAATAAATGACGTTCAGCACCCGAGTTGTTCTCTGTGTATGGCGGAAACTCTCAAGGGCGAACCTGTGGATATCCCAAGATACTGTCGAGACCGGTCATAACGAAGTCAACGGGAATCGGAAATCACTTTGTTATATACGCTATTTCGTTATAACCAACTTCTGTTATAACGAAGTACAAACGAAATGGGAAATCGTGATCGCTTCGCTGTAGCCGCTATTTCGTTATAACTGGTCTCAACTGTACCAAAATATGTACTTATTTGTTTGTCTCTTTACGATTCTGTCCAGGCCCAATGGCCTTGCGGAGGGAAAAGGCAAGTTGAAACAAGGGGCAAGGAAACACTGCCTACTGTTCTTCCCACTTTGTCTAAACTTCCCTTAATTCTTTTTTTCCCAATGTTTTTAGAAAGTGGCGCTCAGACGTACCACAGGAACGACTTGGAAGACCTCCGGGGGCGCCGCATTGGGGGACTGGGACACGCTTGCAAGGATCCACTTGCTCACTGCAGACCGGAAGAAAGAGTGAGAACGCCAACGACGGTCAAGGACGAGTATAGTCCTGGCAGAGTGAGAACGGCGCGTCTTTCGAGTGCCTTCAACACTCGCTACATGCCTTCCGCCAGGCTTTGGCTGTGTGGATGCCTTGTCAAAGGAAGGAAGCTAGAGTTGGAGGCTGCAAAACCTCCAACTCCTGTTCTCACCTTGTCAGTGACTTTAGAAGAAGTGAACAGGACAAAAGGCGACTAGCAACTGGTCGTTTAACGGACACAAAGAAGACGAGGATGTGATTAGTTGTGCAGTAGCCACGTTGATTCCGTGGACCCTCACTACGACCTCAAAAGTGACATTAAAACGAGCCGCAATCAGGGATGCAATCACTTTAAACAGATTGCTAGCACCACAAGCAGTTCCAATAAGAACTTGCATCAATGTTGATAAGAATAAACATAGTTTGCCCAATGTTCAACTATTTTACAGGATTGACAGGTAGAAGGAAAAGAATTGGCTCCTTTTTCACACTGTCGTGGCAAAGGCAGCAGGATTACAGAATGTACAGTAATCTTTCGTTATAACCAAGTCATGAGGACGGCAAAAAAATTCGATATAAGCAGAAATTCAATAAAAGCAATAGAGCCAGAGAAAAAGCGCCAGCAGCTTTCCAGGTGGACAGGAACGCTGAGGAACACCCTGGCCGTATATTTAATCGAACAAACCTTGGTTATGAACCACAAGCAGCAGCATAATTAAGTGGAGTTTGCCGATAATTTCATTTGGGCATCAGTTCTCTTCGAACTGCTCCAGGCATCGTAAGAACACTGTCACCGCCGCTGCACTCTGTTTTGAAGCAGCCATAGGACGTTTTGTGTCTTTGCAGTCGTCGGCGTTTCCCAAGGCGTCATTCCGACGTCGCTTCGTGCTTACGCTAGCCACACGCAAGGTTTACGATTGCAGCGTCCGTGGCTGGAGCAATAACAGGAACGTTCGCATCGACAAGCGCAAACGAACGAGTTATCCTCAGTGGTTTCGCCGACACGTTTTCACACACTCCCGTAGAGACCGCTGCATTTCTGGGAATTGTGCGGCAACACGGCAGGTATGCTGGCGAGAAAAAATTTGGCGTGCGTAAAGCAGAAGGCGATCTTTCATCTTCGGGTCGCAGGCACACTTTCTCGAGCATGAGAAACTTCTCGACCCCATCCAGTATGCCTTACTCGTTCCGTAATATGGTGGACAGTGTCGATCAGCCAATGCCGTATTGTTGACTTCTTTGGCAACTTCAGATTTGGGCCGGCCATTTTTTTCAACCTCGCAGATGCAAGTGACTTTCGGTAAAGACTCCCACCCTCATACGACGCACGTGTGCGTGTAGTTGATGGTAAGCCGCAGGTGTGCCCTTGCAGGCGCGCGCGTCGGGGGCTCCCAAAGGGATGATCTCCTCCGGGCCTTAACCGTTCCCTCGGCCCGATCAGAAGTTGGGCAATGTCGGCCACGGGCTCTGCGAGTATTGTCGGAACGTGAACGCTGCTACCTGCCTGCATCGGCAAATCGGCATCGAAAGCGGTGCTCTACCCTCCGTCATCCATTTATTCCATTTACGTGTTTGCCGTTTACCTAGGTAGAGAGGGGGGAGAGAATGCAAAGGTCTCCGTGCGCTTCCGTGTAGGTTTGCATGCTTTTGGCACCTCCACCTTCGCAATAAGCGTGGTCAGCCGCCGATACACCTAGAATAATCTGGTTCAAAATGCATAATAAAGTTTATTAAAAATAAAGTTTATTCTCTCTCCCTCTCAAAATGCATGCACTTCAATCGGGACCACGTTGAACTTCGATAAAACGATAATTAGAATGAACTGATTTCGGATTACTGTTCTGTGTTTCATCACTGTGATGATTAACAAATCAACTTGGAGCTTGGTCACGAAGCTTTATTCGAGGCTGATTGCAGTCCGGACCGAAACGCATGCGTTTTCATTTGCATTACTGTGTAGACTGCATAAAACGTATGTCACGGGAGTCGCAAAAATCCGCACTATAAGCGGTACCGCACATAACCAAAACATCAATTTTTCAGGCCAAAATAGATGCCATGAGACAACTTACCTTTGTAAAAGAATTTATTTTATGTTAGATGAAAAACAAAGCTGAGTCTGAGGAAAGTCCTTATTTCATCAGACCAGTACACTTCTCTTTCAAGTGCGTGACACATTTTGAAAGAAATGAGTGACTTCAGCTAGGCGCAGCCTTTTAACAGCGTTGCGGACGGACGTTGCGAGCATTCAGGATTGCTAACCCTAATCACTTTTCTCTGGTGATGAAAACGCGTGAAAATTTCCATCCTTTATACGGTACACGCTAGTAATACCTTGAATTTGAGCACACGCATGAAATGCACCAAAGAAGAAATCCGGGCGATGTTCGAGGACACAAATGCTTAGAAAGCACCACTGTAGTCGAAGTAAACAAACACGACGACACGGGCGTTTCCGTTGTCTTGAGAGTACCGCCACGACATCGTCGCACGAGTAGGTGGATCTTCCCTTCTAGTACGTGCTGGGTTATCATAGCGACACACGACGAAAATTCACAGTCAAGGACAGCGCTTTTACGCGGAACGATGAGCTTCCAGCACGCCGTCCATGTCGACGATCACCGCCGACACCATGTTTGCAGATAGAAGAAGTTGGCCCGCTAACGGCATGCAACGACCTGTGATTGGTCTGTCGTTGCGGTTGTTTCCAATGCAGCGGGGGAAAGTTGGGCTCGCTCCAACTCCTCGCGTCGTGAACGACACGTGCATGCATCCCTCTGTCGCTATGGCAACTGAAGCCTCTCTTTGCTTCCCCTCGCTTCTTCGAGCATCTCCTTGCCATCCTTGCCCCCGCAAGTGCCGCTTGCAGCTAGCGCTGTTATCTAGTGTCGCACAAGGAAGCGGGCTCACTGCGCCGGTCAATCGGCGGGCTGTTCCAGAAACCGCACTATAACCGGTATTTCCCTTCTTGCGCCTGCATTTTAAGCGCTATGTAATTACATGGAGTTGTATGGGAGGCGAACCGGTGGTTGAAAAAAATGAAAGCCGTTTACAATTCCCTGTAACGCCGGTTAGAGCGCAGCTCTTGAGGAGGAAGATGGAAGCGTACTGAGGGATAGGTGACTCCTTGAGGTCACGTGACCTCAAGGGGGTCACGTGACTTCAGGGGGTCACGTGGCCTCCGGGGGTCACGTGACCTAATGGGGTCACGTGACCTCAGGGGCTCACGTGACCTCGGGGGTCACGTGACCTGAAGGGTCACATGACCTTAGGGGGTCACGTGACCTAAGTGGGTCACGTGACCTCAAGGGGGTCACGTGACCTCAAGGGGGTCACGTGACTTCAGGGGGTCACGTGACTTCTGGGGGTCACGTGACCTCGGAGGGGGGGGGGGGGGTCACGTGACCTCGGGGGGTCACGTGACCTCGGGGGGTCACGTGACCTCGGGGGGTCACGTGACCTCGCAATTACGCCGACGGCGACGCCGACGCTGCTTAAGCCGGAAACGGGCACCTAAGAGCTGCGCTCTAAAAAGCCGCGTTATACCCGGTCCTGCACTATAAGCGGTTACTTTCTAAGTGGTCTATACTGTATTCGAAGTGTATTGGTGGCCGATTGTGCTTATTTTGAAGATCAAGCTGCCTAAAACGTGCGACGACCGATATGTCACAACGAACGCGACAGCGAACAGAGTGAAGGAGGGCTGCTTTCTCTTTTCCCCCTCTTTTTCACTGATGCTGGCACTTGCCAAGCAGTCCAGAACCAGGGAGCAGTGTCCGAATTCCAACATTACACACGGTGCATGCCCGCACAAATCTCAAATTGCCAAGGAATCGACATTCCAACATTAACAGTGTTGACCATCTCGAAGAACAAGCAATATGTAGTGGACGGGTTCGAGAAGAGTTTCTCGAGCGAGTGAAAGTGCCCCGTAATTCGAAATATCCTGAAGTCAAAGCCTCGTTTCTGGGGTGGTTGGAAAGTACCAGGGCTGCCGCTAATGCTGAGATGCTGGCCTTGCAAATGAAGAACCTAGAGTTCATATGCAGAAATGGGTGGCTCGAACGATTCAGAAAAATGGCACGGTGTGTCTTTAAAGATGACTATGGGTGAAAGCGGAGTTGTCAACAAGGTCACCATGGACACTCGGCAAAAGCATTGGCTGGTCAAAGCTTTGGAGCGCTCTACGAACAAAGACAATTATGACCTCAATGAGGCGGCATTTTTTTACAAGCTCTTGCCCAAGCGCATCTACGCGACTGCAGGCAGCCCTTCGTCCGGAGGCAAACAAATTAAAGTGTGCATGACTGTGTTGTTTGCGACATATGACATATTGGTGGCGAAGACAAGCTTCCCCACCAATATTAGGCAAGGCTGAGAAGCCGGGGTGATCCCGGAACACGACCGATGCCAGATGACTGCGTCTACAAAAACAAGAGTGGATGACAATGGCCTTCTTTGAGGGCTATGTGCACTTTCTGAACCATAATTATGCGAAGCAAGGGTGCAAGCTGTTGTTTGTCATTGACAACTGCCCCAGCCATAACTTTGCCATTTTTGCCACCCAATAGAACATGGTTTTTGCAGCCCATGGACCGAGTAATTGTTGAAACAACTAAAAAAATGCAAACGCAGAAAACTTGCGCAACATATGCTGCTTGCCTACGAATGCAGCAAGGGCTACAGCACCCACCCATTCATTCGTTCAGCCGTTCATAGAACTGGTGGCATCAAAGATTGCCAACTGCTCTGCACACGCTCGAGCAGTAAGCGATCGATTTTCGGGGCTGCGACGATCCTTTCAGGAGTGTGTGCAAACTCGTTGGTGAGGCACTCGAGGACGACTTCGATTCGTTCGCGCCTGCCAATGCAGACATTCCCGTTGCTGGTCTCGTTACGAAAGCTGAAATCGTAGACCTCGCGTGTGGCAGACGCGGTAGAGACGAAGATGAAGAGACGTCAAACGAGGAACCTCGAGAGATAACCACGTACAGAGACAGGAAACATCCTACGGCTGCTTCGGAAGAAGGTGGAGAGCGGCAGTGGTGACAGCAATCTTGCGACGACCAAAGGAACCAAAGGCGGCATTACTGATGCGCAGAAAAAGTGCTCTACAGACTCGGCTTACTTTCTTTTAGCCTCGGTAAAAATGCCAAAAGTTACTGATCACCGAGGTTCGTTCGATTAAATATTTGTCTCATGCCTTCCGCGGTGTCCCCGTCCATTTTCCAGCTACCGTCTCGCTTTCATCCAATTACAGCACGTATAAAAATTTTTGTTTCATCCTTAAGACTCGGTCTTAACGAGAAACTACCGTACATTGGACGCAGGTGCCGCGTCGGCGTTCGTACGGGGCTTGCGTTCAATCGACGAGGACGCGAGGCCCAACCGAATGCTGACACGACAAGCGTATGGGGCTCCTGCATCACGGAAATCCTCTACGGTCCCCGACAGGGTGAGGAGGGCAGGGAGAGGCTCCAGTTGCCCCGACTTCAGCGCAAGCTTCTCGCCTTCAACGGCGTCTCGTGCATGTCCGGTGCACGTGCGCAGCCTCAACACAGTGAAAAGCACGGAGCGCGTGCTGGGACCGAGCGTTCTAAAGTCGCTGGATACAGGGAAAGTAGCGCCGCTGCATTCCCTCCCTGCTAGCCAGACACAAACAGATACTAACACACAGAAGACCAAAACTTCACGAGATGATTGGCTGATTTCGTTGCTCTGGCGCTTGCCGTTTCCACCCTCGACAGTCTTTGACGCTTCAAAAGGGTCGTTTGTGAACCAGTTGTGCCAAGATTGCTACGGATAGAAATTCTATGGAAACCGTTCCTTGCCAATAGAGGCGTCTCTGGCACTGTGCATGCGGTCAACTTGTCCATTGTGCCCATCTCCAAAGGTGTCTTACGACGATAATGTTTTTTTAGCATATTTCGAGATGGGAAAGTTGTTCTTTCGATGCCGTCAAACAGCAATGGTGCGAAGAAATGCTCTCGATTCGCTGGCGTGTGGTTACTGAAATCTCGGAGTACGAGAAATGCCTTCATAAAGCAACCCGTCACCGCGAATTTGGATCGACTCACCAAGAATGGAGAGGTCAAGGAGAAACTGCGCATTTCATGAACCAAAATGGCGACTAAACAGGGAGCTTGGCGCTACTTTCCCGGGATCCAGAGACTTTAAGGAATTGGAAAGACACGCCGTTCTCACTCCGTAGGCGACTATGGGACCCCCGCGGAAGAGGAGGAGGTTGTGCCCACCGGTCTGCAGCAGGCGTGCCGCCTTCTTCCGCTCAGGCGACACCTGGCCGTCTTGCCGGTGGTTGTTGGTGGGGCCGCCCATGCGGGGCTCAACCCCCTCCACCGCGGTGTCCCCCTCCGACTCCCGCTTGTCGGAGAGCTCCGTGGCCCCCTCGCACAGGGGGGTCAGCTGGGGCATGAGGAAGTCCAGGAAGGCCTTCCTCCGCGGGGCCAGTGCCAGGGTGCAGCCAAGCATGGGCTGCTGCAGGTCGTACAGGAAGATGTTGCACAGTAGGCTGCGGAGAAGGAGAGGGAAAATTACGCGACCTCCATCATGCTGACAAAGACCAGGGAGCACCAAATTTGTCCCGCACATACCACACTTTGCGTGTGGTCTGTGCTTTGCGTCAGACATTAGCCACGACAAGACCGAGCAAACGAACGCGCTGCACGGGTGCTACCTCACATGGCTTTTAGGCGATGCGCAACGTCAATGAGGCGAGCGGTCGTGCAATACGACATCTCTCCGCTCTCACCGGCACGTTTTGCCAGGGGCACAATGCTCCCAGAGTAGCTGCGCTACACAGCTCAGTGGCCATAGCATCCAACTGCTCCCACGCCGACCAAAGTTTGAGCCCTAATGAGGGCTTTTTCACTAGCTATCACTGACAGAAGTTCTCTTCCTCAAATTATTCTACTTGAAACTAATTGGACTAAATTCGGTGATCTTTGCAAGGCACACCTCACAAGTGTTTTTTTTAGTTAAAATGTTTATTCAATATCACTTACTTCTTTTTATAGAACTCATATGTCTCTTGTTCATCATTAAAGGGACACTGACACCCCCCAAATTTTTTTTTTTAATTTTTTGCCAGGCGCTTCATTATGGTGTCGGAGGACTACCCAATTAATATTTTGCAACAGAGTAGCGTATTTTTTTAATAAAGCCAAAAGACGCAACTGCTCGAAACCGAAACCGAAACCCGACGGAGGTCGGAGAAGTGGAGAGGAGAGAGTGAGTGGCGGAAGTCACGTAACTACACCCGACCGTGCGATTTTTTTTTTTTTTTTTTCTCTTTTCCGGTAGCAGACGACACGACATGCGGCGTGCGATTCTTTTGCAGTCATGTTTGTTCCGCTCGTTGCTCTGTATTCCAAGATGAGTTGTTTCGTACATTGAGGAGTTGGAGATTAGTAGTGAGTGCCCGTGGTGAATTTCCATGATCGGCTCCAAAAAGAATACACCCAAGATGTTGCGTGGAGAGCTGGCTCACATGTCCTGCACCCGAAAAAAAGTGGCATTGTGCGACAGAGTTTCCGAAAGATCAACGGGATCGGGACCAATGGCTGGCTGCAATTCCTGTAGAACATATACGGGCACCTCGGAAAGCGGACGCTACCTGATTTATATGCTCCTTGCATTTTGTGGAAAGTGATTACATTGAGTTCGCAGGTGTCAAAACGGAAATCCCATACCATTTAATTCAGCAAAGTATCGTCCACAACATTTGTTTGTTAATTTTTTGTTTGTTTCTTCAGTGATGATCGTAAAAAAAAAAAAAAGATATGTAAACATCAAAAAAAGAAAAAAAAGTTCCACGGGGGATTGAACCCGGTCCTCCCGCGTGCGAAGCGGACGTCTTTCCCACTGAGCTACTGGGGCATCTCTTTTCCTGTGGATCTCTTTCCTTAGTAATAATTTAGCCGGTAAACTGTAAGTTGGAAAGTTTGCTGTTGATTTTTCTCTAGCAAAAGCACTCCCGGGTCGAAGTCGGGAAGCACCACTCTTTGGGGACATTCGCACCTAGTAAAGAAATCGTACGCGTGCATATTCACCTCGAAGTAGACACGTCGTGCTTGACGTTTGCGCGAGCGATGTCTTCAGCCACGAGAAGGGAGCGACGACTTCGTGCAAGTCGGCTTGGTGGCCGGGCGTGTCGTACGGGATGAATACCAATTCTTTTGATCAGTCCCAAATTTCTCTTTTAACGGTAGACAGAATTCGCCGGTACCGCGAACGACAGTTCTGAAATAGAGGTCCCACGCCCGTCGTCCGCTGCCATCGCCGTCCCCGCGAGTCCCACGATACGCGAAACGACGAACGCACAGAATGCTTCCGGTTGTCTGTGGAACTTTTTTTTTTCAATCAACGTATTTACAGCTTTTTAGAAGCCACAAAAAATGGGTTTCATATTTTTTTCTATTTTTAATATTGAGTGTGTGCCTTCAGTGACCCACGACTTTGATTAAATTTGGTGGTCGCATCGATACCTTAGAAAACGGCCCGTGACCGCGAAAAAGAGAGTGAGCAAGACTCGAAACGGCCAGTTCTTGATCGGCGGTTTTCGGGCAGAAAGAAACCGAATTTCGAGCCGCAAATTTTGTTCTGGGTAGTTGAGCTCTCATATGTCACGTACAACTAAAAGCCTCGGCGAGCATAAATACCCTGTCAGTGTCCCTTTAATAAAACTGTTATTTGGCAACCTTCATTGTTACCGTCTATACCCGAAAACAGGTCGACCACGAAAATAGGTCAACCCCTATTTATTGAACCCACCGAGAATAAAAAAAATACTGTATTTTCTCGCGTATTACCCGCACCAAAACTTTAATAAAATCCAAGGCAAAATAGCGGTGTGGCTAATACACGAATTTGGACGCGAGTGTGGCTTCACGGCAGTACGCGCCGAGCCACATGGTCGATAGGGACGTAAATTCCCCAGAATCCTTCTTAGCTGTTCCTTCTTAGGTACTTTCTCCCGTCTCTCCAGTTGCCATCTTTGCATTGTCTGCGCGCCAAAGCGCTGAACTGGACGCGCACCCACGAAGGGAGAATGAAGCGAGAAACGTCATTCTTGCCATCTTGGTCGTCCCGTTCCATTTGACGTGAGCTGTGCTCGGCGGCAGTCTTTTACGGCGGAGCAGGAACTCAAAATAATCGGCGTTGTCAGAGAGATCAGGAACCATGCAGAGGGCCGAAAGTATGTCGACGAATCCTGTATAAGCAAGTGGAGAGCAAAGAAGCAGGATCTTCAAAGTGCAAGCCGTGACTGCCGGTCCTTCTGCGGTCCCAAGACTGGAGCCTACCCCCAGATCGAAGCCAAGCTGGTGGAGTTCAGTGAGGAGAAGAGAGGCCGCGGCCACACCGTATCAACAGAGATGGCCCAGATCGAAGCTCTGAGGCTGGCAAGAGAAGACGGCACACCGCGCAACCAGTGTCCTGCCAGCCGCGGGTGGTTTCACCGATTCATGAAACACCAAGGATTTTCCATTTGGAGGTGGACGACCTTATGCCAACAACTTCCTGACGCCTACGAGTTAGTGAACTTCCAGCGCTACGTGATCGGGCTCCGAAAGCGACACGAGTACTTGTACTTGCAGATTGGTAACGCGAACCAAACTCCCGTGTACTTTGAAATGTCACTGGACACAAGTCTTAAGAAAAAAGGCTCCAAGTCGGTGACCATTTTAACGGTCGGCAACTCGAAACTGCGCTGCACAATGATGTTGTGCGCGTTAGGAGACGGCACAAAGCTACGGCTGTATGTGATCTTTAAGCGCAAGACGCTTCCCACTGATTTGCCCTCCGAGATAGTTGTGCGTGCGGAGGACAACTCCTGGATGAACAGTCATTTTGTCGTTGACTGGTTAAAAACCGTGTGGGAGAACAAGCCGGGTGCGATGTTGGCGCAGAAGTCCATGCTAGTGCTGGACGCGTTCCGGGGCCACAACACCGAGGAAGTGAAGACCCGTCTCGCGGATGAGGAGACAGACCTCGTCATGATCCCAGGCGGGATGACGTCCGTGCTTCAGCCGATGGATGTTTGCTTAAACAAGCCTTCTAAGGCGCATGTGAAGCGCATGTACACGGAGTGGATTGCCAAGGAGCAGTACGACCTCACGCCGACGGGCCGGATCCGCAAACCTGACATAGCAGTACTTTGCAAGGGGATTTTCGACGCGTGGAAGGCGATTCCTGCAGAGACATTCGCAAGAGTTTAGGAAGTGCTGTATTAGCAATCGCCTGGACGGCACGGATGACGATGCTCTCTGGGACAATGAAGATTCTTCAACTGATAGCTGCAGTGACTGCAGCGATGAGTAATGTTCCAATAAAGGTACTGTTTTTGGCGACTCTGACATTGTTTTCCGTGGGTAACTATGCGGGTAATATGCGAGGTCTTTTTTTTTTTCTTTTCCTAACAGTCGTAAGTTGGGGGTGCAGGTTATATGCAGGGGTGGGTAATATACGCGCAAAAATACGGTAATTCAAATATAGGTCGACCTTTTTTTATTTTCTTAGGAGCAGGGTAAAGTTAGGGAAAAAGAAAGAAAGAAATCTTTATTTACAGCACTCTCGGCTAAATCGCAGGCCGACGCCAAGAACTTAATCATTGTCAGAACTTCCGGACATGTCATCGTCGTCTGAAGCTTCGTCAGTTGGTAGACATCCTCGCAAATTTGACAACAATACCTCACCGAAACCGTCGCGAAATGACAAGAAGAAGGAAGAAGGTGGAGACGGGTGAAGTGACGAAAGACCAAATTCAAAGACGCGAGCAACGCCGCAAGTTGCCGAGAACAACACGCCAGCTGCCGCAAGCCAACACACTAAAGTAACCTCAGTTTTTTTTTGTTTTTTTTTGCGCGTTCGTGAGGAAGAGGAACGGAGGACAAGGTGCATCGCGCATCGATGCGTTCCTCTCCCTCTCCTTTCTCTTGTCCAGCGAGGGGAACGCCACAGGCGCGATGGCGAAACTCGACGCTCGAGGGATGTGCGCGAGCGGCGGCCACGGCAGAGGGGCTGTCAGTTGCTGCTGTTGCGGTTGTTTTCGTGCACCAAGAGCTTTTTCAAACAAGAAGCGGCGCGAATCTATGGCAACGCCGCCTTGGTGATTTGCTACCTCCATGCCCTCGCTAGGGTTGCAAAATTTGGTCGCGAATGTAGGTACAAATTCTTTGGTCACGATTATAGGACGTCCCTTAATTTTTGACAACATTTCCGGAAAAAAAAAAAGAGAAACCCGTTTACAGATCCCTGTAACGCCGGATTAGAGAGCAGCTCTTGAGGAGGAGGATGGAAGAGTACTGAGGGATAGGAGACTCCTTGAGGTCACGTGACCTCGGGGGGCGACCTTAGGGCGGGGGTCACGTGACTTGGGGGGGGGGGGTCACGTGACCTTGGGGGGCGACCTCGGGGAGGGGGGTCAACAGGACCCCCCCCCCGCCCCGAGGTCACCAAAGGTACCCGATGTCGTCCCGAAGGAACCTGAGGTCCTCCCGAAGGAACCCGAAGTCCTCTCGAAGGAACCCGAAGTGCTCCCGAAGGAACCCGAAGTGCTCCCGAAGGCACCCGAAGGAACCCGAAGTCCTCCCGAAGGAACCCGAAGTCCTCCCGAAGGAACCCGAAGTCCTCCCGAAGGAACCTGAGGTCTTCCCGAGGGGGGGGGGGGTCGCGGTTACGGCGACGGCGACGCCGCTCAAGCCGGAAACGGGCACCTAAGAGCTCTTAAAAGGTAGACTTACATTCGAATAAATACGGTAATTCTTTGTACTAGAACCCCCTCCCACCTCCCCATGTGATGCACTTAATCGCAGGGCTTTTGAGGATTATTAAAGGGACAATGAAGACGATTTTAGTTAATTTTTTTTTAAATGGTGTTTTTGTGCTTCTTGGGAACATAGCACGCTGCCCAATTTTTTCCAGACATTTGTGACGTGTATTTCTGTGCCTTCAAAAGAAGTAAAGAAACCGAAAGTGAACAATCTCCATTCTCGTTTCTGGGCCTCCGAAAACGAAGGTGACGTAGGGAGTGACGTCAAGTGTGAATAGTCGCTGTCGGTAGTATTTAGGGCGTCGAGACTCTGGTTACCGCGGTGGGTTATAGCAGCGTGGTGGCGCGGTCGTTTCGTCGAGTCTGCCAACATGGACAGCAATGCCGCTCTCGCGAGCAAGTTCGAGCTTCCGTTCAGTGACCCAACACCAACGGAACGGGAGTATGTGTGTGGCGGCCTCCGCCGTCACCCGACGGAGACCGCCCAGCCAGTAACAAGCGGCCCACATGCCGAAGTGCCCATAGTTGCTCGGTCGCCGTTTCGCGTCCAGCGTAGCAAAGAAAAAAAAAATTATGCTGCTTTGATTACGGTTTAGTGATCATTTCCGGTCTGATTTGTACTTTTCATGGTTATTCAAGCGGAAATTAGAACAGCATTTCTAAAAATCGCGAACCAAAACGTGATTGAGGGCATGTCTCTCGTTTCGACCAATCGCTGAAGTGTCTCTTGTGACGTCGCGCTTCTTGGCCCCGCATCGGTCACGTGAGCTCCGCTTCTCCTGGCTTCTCCCGCAACTCTGGGGGCGACCCCCGTACAATTATTACCACGACTGTTTCATCAATTCGCGCGGCCCACAAGCGCCGGTTTCGGCTGAAATTTAGTCAACGTGGCCTGAGACGTGCCTGGAACCCAGTTCAATCGCCAAAAAAATGTCCGAAATCGCCTTCACTGTCCCTTTAAACTGAACTGAAGGGAAATATGTAACCTTACCGTACTGTATTGCTCTCAGCGTGTCTGTCACTCGTTCGTGACGCTCATCTATGACGCTTGTTGGTGGCAATTTTCACATAGAAAATGACCCATCAAACATGTTCTGTATAGACCCTTTTAAAAAAAACCCAAAAGCCTGCGCGTGCCGTGCGACGAATAATGGGAGTCCTCGGTACGCGCCTCCCAACGTCTCTCCTCCCGCTACCACGTGGCATGTGCGAGCAGGCGCAGGTTACCACAGCACCAACTTTTGAGCAGCCGAGAGCCGAGCCGCACGAGCAACGAGACAATGGCTGCCCCTTTCTCATCCTCTCTTTTGTACCGGACCGGCTCTGTCGCCTGCCGCACCAACTCTTTGTCGAACCTGGTTGAAACCTGCCATGGTTGCGGGGCAAACTAAATGGATTCGGTGACACTTCAATACGTGACGGTAAGTTACGACGAATAATGTATCGAAACAAGTTCAGCAGTCGAGATGCCTTTACGCTGCCACGGATACGGTAAGCTGCCAACGACGTACGACTCGACGGATGGGAAGGACGGCGGATGGCTGCAACGGCTGCTGGCAATAGCTGCCGCGACACGCGCGCAGTTGCGGAGACGCAATGAGAAAGCGTGTGATCTGTACCGAGGGTTCCCAAAATTTCCTGCCGTCGTGGCGCTGTATGTTTTGTAACAGGTCTATTGATAAACATTCTTCGTTGTGCCAAGTCTGGCACTTTGTTAACACCTTCCCTGAGCACGTCCTCGACATGTCAGAAAGAGAAGAAGGTTCAGGGTGTCTAGCAAATTGTTATTTTGAAAATCCCTGACTTTTCCAGGCTTTCCGGGACATTTTCATGTGAAATTCCCTGACCACTGTAGAGGAGGTTAAATACACAAGACCATTACAACACAGGCATTGAGCATTGACCACTGTGAGGATCATTTTGCACAGGCTTAATCCAACTTTCAACTTCCGAAATATTCGGGTTCGTCCAGTTCGGATTAAACGAGCACTTTCTTGCCGCCGACATCGTTCATGAAGAGGCCACTTGTGGAAACAGGATGAAAACACGACGCTCAACCACACATGTCAATAACCGAATGGCAGCATGGCTGCCAGATGCACACTTTCGGATACTTTCGGCTTAAGGCTTGGATTAGATTCGGGTCTGCGGCTTTTCGATTTGTTACTAAATCTAGTAGCTCTAACTGGATCTAGCCTAGTGACGTACCCTCGATCCAATCCAAAGCTTGGACTGGATTTGTGTCGGCTGTTCCCTCTGCGTCAGGTAGCACACTCTACATGGAATGAGCAGAGCCCGCATTCCGCTCTAAGCAGAATTTATTGCCTATTCTTCTGCCCCAAAGTCCTCAAAAGTCTTTGCTCAGGGCACCCCATGGCATTTCCGGCTCCTTTTCCCTGACTGAGCCCTCTTTTTGACAATACCCCTAACAATTCCTGGTCGCTGGACACCCTGAGGCTGCCGGCAAGCCAGGAAACTCTGGGACCGACCCTGAACCCATGGTGAACGGACCGATCTCTTTCATTCCATGCACGCACGACACCGCCATAATTGTAGTTTGCAGGAGACAGGAGGTAATGCACGGGATAGGTCGTGCCATCTCGTGCCCCGCTTGCACAGAGTCGCAGTGGGCTTGTCACCGAGGGCAAATTTATGGATCGGGCCTGCGGGGAGGGTTTGGAGCAACATCCGACGTCACGGGCGAAGCATCGTTCAGATACATTTTGTTCACCTAATGACTGCCACTTCACCCAAAACTAAACATTTCTTTGTAAAAAAGTGGCTGGTGTAGGAAATTTATTTTTCCCTAAAAAAAAGACGCCTCGGAGGTTTGGGAAAAAAAGTCGAGAAGTCGAGTGTATGAGCACTTGCCTCGGTCTTGTGACAATCAATGCCTCGACGAGCATTCGTGTTGCAGCTCGTGTCTAATCATTGCGGAAATGGCCAAACCATAGGCGTGCGCAGGATTTTTTATTAGGGGGGGCGAGGTTTCCCCAGAGCGCCCCCCCCCCCCCTTTCTATCAACGCACTCCCACTGATGTCCTTCCGCTCATATTGCAGTGCTGAGACGAGATATGGTTATGAAACGTTTATTTCAACAATATTGAATTGTAACATATACAAAATATTGTTAAGCAGTTGATTTCACTTTCTTGTGAAACGTCCGCAAAGAAAGGCAGTCCCTGCGCAGCTGGGGCGTCAGTGACACAACGCGCATACAAAGAATTTTTATTCTTTCTAAACCAGAGAAAGATACGACACATATGCCATCTTTAACAGCACACAATATTTAAAAATATTGCCACAACGTGACTCTGCTAGTATGGAAAACATAGTATACATACTGGGCAAACGCATGGGTGCACCTACACATGGCGAAAGCGGTCATATGGCGTCTGCAACGTTCATGCAGAGGACGAAAAACGCCACCCAACACACAACGTAATGGCAACGCTTAAAAGGCACGGGAATAAACCGCAGATTAAAAATACGAAAAACAGCAAGTTACAATATTTAGTAATTATTGAAGATAAACGCTATGACATGCCATTTTTTTTTTCTTCTGAGCATCCAAATGTACAGTTCATAATCCTACTTTCTAGCGCTTGATAGAAACATGTAATAGAAACAAGGGCTATAATTACTTTTTTTGCACAAGATAACACGCACGCATTATGTCATCATGCTGAACAAACATTATACGAACTAATCAATATGTTATGTGGTGGTAAAAATATTTTATGATTAGATTACTATAATGTGTAGCATGTGGGAGATATAGTACTTTTCACCAATCGTGAAAAGTCTAAAGCAAAATTCTACGCGATTTTGTCGCGAATTGTTTGATGACTGACTGCGTCGCGGCGTCTTTTTATGGTTGTTTTTTTTCGTTGCGCGCACTAAAGGGAGGGAACTTCGGCGTTGGTGTTTTATGGCGTCGAAAAAGAAACCATACCGCCGGCGCAGTCGCGCCTCAAGTCGGGCCAACTTTGCGCCCCCCCCCCCCCCCCCCCCCCCCCCCCCAGATGATTAGAGGGGGCGGCCGCCCCTTCTGCCCCCTTCGTGCGCACGCCTATGGGCCAAACCCTCATTTGGAACTCGGCATGTGCCCTGTGCTTTGGCAATCCGTAGCTACAATGAAGACTGGCGGCATACGATCGGCACCCAATCACAAGGCCACTTGTTCTGGCCGCAAGTCAAGGGGGTGAACACGTTTCTTTCTTGTTTATGCGACTGCCATCGCTCTTAGTTCAGTTATTTGATTACATCAGAGATGTTTAAAAGAGCACTTTACATGAGGGGGGATAAGTATTTACGATAAAGTATACAACAATAAAAACAAAAGCAAAGCTCGAAAGAGTTTTGCTAAGGTTTGTGGAGACAAACTACTGCAAAATGGTGCTTTGGACTGGCTGGTTCATATTTAAAGAAAACAGTGCAAATGCACAGAAAGAAAATTAAGACAGGACAGTGCACACTCACAAATAAGTGTGTTAAGATAGCGTCAGCGAGGCTTCACTCACACTATCGCCGGCTGAGCTTGCATTTCTAAGTGAGAGGCTCACACCGATTTGAAGATACGAGATTTTTTCGAGGGCCCGTAAGTAGAAAAGTGTGTTTCATGAGTGGCATTTTCTGAAAGCAGAAAACTTGTTGCCCCAGAAGGACCACTGCCCTCCCCTCACCTGCCCATCTTGTCCCGGACGTTCTGGTAGCTGTGCATCAGCCGGGGCTTCAGGTACTCCAGCTGCTGGTGAAGCAGCTCGCACACCCGCCACTCCTGCTGGGCCAGGCCCCCCAGCAGCACGTACAGCCGGCTGAAACGTGTTCACCGGTCACTCTCGCTGCCCCAACGTCGGCCGACGCACCAAGCAATGCCGGCCGTCTCACCAGACAGGGAGGAACATTCCCAGTCTTTGTCTGCTTGCTTCGAACCAAAATATTTACCTTAGGAAAAACATTATAACTCAAAATTGCAATTTTTCTTTTTCCAAGCCACATTTTTGGAAGAACAGTGGTGAGAAAGTTTTATTCCTCTAATGGAAGTATATTTTTTCCAGAATAAACTATTTTCAACATGCTGGCACCGTCTAAAGTGTAGCTTCTTAAATTTCAATCGCGCTTATCTCAACTTCACTTTTACAGTGGCAGCTGCTAGTGGCCCTTCCCGGCAAAAAATGCTAATGTACGAACGCAAAACCACCTCTACAGCAGATGCACTGCTCTCCCTCTCCCCATAGTTCCTCGCACACAGCAGGGCTCTACCTCGCTCCTCTCTCCCTTCCCCCTGTAAACCGCCGCTCCGGCGACACTCCCTTCCCGCCCCTTCCTGAGAGCTGCCGTTGCGAAGTAACCTCACAGTCTCGCTGTGTGGACACGCTCCCTTGCCTCCCCACTGCCGCCACCCAGGCTCCGTTCTCGTGTGCTCTTCGTGCTTCCACAGTACAACTAGCGTACACACTTTCGCTTCTTCCACTGCAGGCGCGGTCACGGGCGGCCCCATTCTCAAAGAGTGTTCCAGCCATCAAAGAAGCGGGTCTCTGTGTCCTTCTCCACCATGTGCAGCATCTGACACAATCGTTCCGCGAAAGCGCACGTCTCCTACATCAATTCCACTGAAAGCAAAGAACCCGTGGCAAACATTGTTCAGCACACTGGTGGCTGAAGGTGAATCCCTTTCAGTGTGCCTTTCCACAATGTAGCAGCTACCACCGTCAATCAAATTTTTTGGCATCAAATCTCGGTTTGAGAAAACTATCATCTCATATAAAATGCTGCGCGGACCAAGTCGTTTTCATTTCTTTACTAAAGTTTTGTAAGGAAAGCGGCTGTGAACTTACTTTCCGCATTTTACATGCTCTCTTGTTACGAAAAGTAGCAGTTCCTTCAACCTAATACATGCAAAAAACAATTTCCCCCATTTCTATTTTTTAAACTAAACTCGCATCATTTCCGTAACTACTTTCCACAGCCGCATGACGTGGGTGGTATACTCTATGCTACAGTGAAAAAAAAAATGGCCATTATCATTAGCGCTTCTAAACGGTAGTTTTTCTTAGTAGGTGCAGTGTTTATCTGATGTACTTCTGACTCTTCCAAGGATTATCTTATAAACTTGAAACTTCGCATGCCATCCCCTTTCCCAACTATAAAGATGGCCTACAAATTTAATACAAACAAGCATAGCGGTTAAAATAAAAAGTTAGCCTTTCGGAGTAGCGTTTTCCCTCTTAATTGCTTTGTTGCTAAGATTGCCGGGTCCGCGGCCGAGTTGGCAGTGTATGTGGCCCCCGCGCGGACGGCCCGGGTTTGAGTCCGGCCAGTCTAGTTCTCATTTGCCGCTTTGCTAGGAAGTTCCGGTACAACCTCGTCGGTTATCGTGTCTTCTGGTTTAGAACCTTTCCGGGTCTAGTACGTGCACACAAGCAGCCGTAGCGCGCTGCATAGAGCCAGTCATAAGCTAGTGCTCAATCCTGCTGTTACGTTGACACGTTAACGTTGACGCCCGTCATTGTATTTTAGTTTTGGCACAATTTCGCCACATTAAACCTCAAATTTTTTCAGTTATTCGTTGTTTCGTCACTTGTCATTCGTGATGATATGGTTAGAGCAGAGAGGGGTTGCTTAAAACAGATGCACGTTTCCCGAGAAAAAAAAAAGGGGGGGTTAGCTGTACATGAAAAATGCACAGAGAAAAAATTATAACATTCACACCACTAGACTAAGAGAAAAAAATTATAACATTCACACCACTAGACTAAGAGAAAAAAATTATAACATTCACACCACTAGACTAAGAGAAAAAAATTATAACATTCACACCACTAGACTAGCAACATTTAATAATGCCTCTTTTTCCTTTTCTGCTAAACCTTGATTCCGGTTTGCATTTTCTTTACACTAAATTAGATTTTTTCCTTCTTTACACTTAATTTCGGGACTTCTTTTCCTTTAATGCATTGACCTTTCTGCTGTTGGAATGTTCTCGATCCTTCTGTATTCCTCTATCTTTGCCTGGGACTGTCACCTTGCAAGAAAATCTTCTCCGAGTCGTATAGCGCAACAGGAGGGGCACTAACACGTTGCTCGCCTTTTTCTTCCATGGCTAGGGCTTCCAGCAGATCCTTACACTTAATTCGGGATTTCTTTTCCTTTAGCGCAATGCGTTAAAGAAAAATAAATCCAGAATTTAGTGTAAAGAAAAATAAAACAAAACTTAAGGATTAGCAGAAAAGGAAAAAGAGGCATTTATTAAATGTTGCTAGACCAGTGGTGCGAATGTTATAATTTTTTCTTTGTGTTTTTCATGTTCAGCTGGCCCCAGTCACAAGCAATGAACCAACTTGCTCCACTAAAGCCCAGAACAATTCTGAGAGTCTCTGCACAATATTCAAACTTTTGGCAGTTTGAAATAAAATTGAAGGCTTCCTTCTGAGTCACGGAGAGTTCACTGTAACCCATTTCAGCCATGATTGATGCAACTAGTCTGAGTCACCTGGCTTGAAGGAAGGAGCCATCCTCGCCCTTCAGGGGGTCCGCCATGAGCTGCTCAAAGAACCAGTGGTACTTGTTGGGGTCCCTGCTCTCCTGCAAAGGCCAGGAAAGCCAATCAGATCTGCATCACAGACGGCAGCTCCCCGTAAAAACCAAAAATGGCAGCCCTTTTGTAAGGACCAAAAATGGAAGCTCGCAGGTAATGACAAAAGACAGTGGTTCTAATGTAACACCCAAGGGTGGCGGCTTCCTCATTTGGAGGTTGTTAGTAACGTGCCTGCTACGGCAACAGTCCACCTGTCTTCGGACAAACGGTGCATTTTACGAAGATTGGATTCTGGACGGCATCCAGTCAATATTGTGAAAAATTTGGCATCGCGACCTCATCGTCATCAATTTAAGAAAAGTAGAGGTGTGCAAATATTCCGAGATTTTGAATACGTATCGAATAATTTTCCTATTTGATTCATATTCGATTCGAGAATTACATATTAAAAAATTTCAGAATATTCGGTTATCGCCGAATATTCGGGCAAATAGCGAATACGGAATCCGCAAACGGGACATGCACTGAACATTCAGAGCTTCCTTAAAAGTTGCGTTTAGTCGCCTCAAATTGCAGGTGTTTTAGACACTTTTCATTGTTTACGTTATACAAGGAACTATTGTGCTTGCACAATTCTCACATGCCCCCAATTCTAAAGCGCCATACGCACATTCGCGTTTGAACGCGTTTGAGCGCGTTGCGGAGTCCTTACGGCCAGGCGCGGTCGCTTGCGGACCGACGCGCGCCTTCCCGCAACGCTCGGCAGCGCGACGCAAGCGAGTAGAGACTCGTTCAACTCTCCGAAGCGTTGCGGTGCGTTCGGGCGCGTTCGACCAATCAGAAGCCGAAAGAGGAGAGGGGGTGACGTGTTCGCTCCGGCCGACTCGGCGAGATGTATCCGGTTCGCCGGTCGCAGTGCTTGCTTTTTCGTTTTGGGGAGCGGTGGGGACTGTATTTTCCAAGGCTGCGATGGTTCAAGCTTGACAAAACGTCGGGGAAGCCGGCGAGATTGTCCCAAGATCGAACGCTTCGACGCTGTCGCCGTGCGCCGCCATGTTGCCTTGGATTTCACTTACTATTCGTGAGCCACTAGCGACGATAGCGCGTTCTTATTGGCTCTTGACTGCGGTTGACTGCGTGTCAACGCAACTGTGCGTATAAGTTTGGCGCAAGCGGTCTTCGCAACGCAACGCGTCCGCTTGCCGCTACGGAACGCACCCCGCTCAAACGCGAATGTGCGTATGGGCCTTAACGTGCGCAGATTTAGCTTCCAGATATTGAAGAAATAAATTGCTGCCAATTCTACGGCACAGGTAAAACAATGAAGGTTGACCACATACCTCACAGAACAGATTTTATGAAATGCCCGCCAATACAAAAATAAATACTAGTCGCCATTGGCAGAGTCCGACGATGGTTCTTTGCTGTCCACAATCCTTGCTTTTGCGCTGAGTGCACAACGGTTGCCACTGGCAGGGTCGCCTTCCAAACAACTTTGCGACCTCCCTCGGGTCGCTGGGATTGCAAGGCCACGCAGTGCTGCTCCGTTGGTATCTTTTCCCGCCAGCGCTTTCGTTTAAATAAAGTAGAGAAATTTCTTCTGTTTTCCATCTTATACGGCAGACACGAGTCCATAGACGCCAGAGAATGCGCGTTTCGGTAATGTGGAAATGTAAAGAAATGGTCACGATGGTGATGGGGCTAGCCACCTAACACCGAGTATTGCGTTTTTGTTTTGACTTATGGTTTTTGGTTTTGATCGTAATGCGCATGTATTTTTGGGAACAGATTTTGGCGAAAAAAGTGCACGTCAGGATCCTTCAAACACGGAATGTAGGTATTGGCTCATGACAAAGCAGCAGTTTTAATTTTCGTTTTTCCAAGCCTGCATTGTGAGTCACTTTTCTAACGACCTTGTATTTCCTGCTGCAGGAGCAAAGGTATTTTCTGCCGCAGGAGCAGTTGTCACTGCAAAAACGGTGCACTTAGTATGTACTCAACATGTGGAACAATTAATTGCATTGCATGATAATTTGCAATAATTGCATTAGCAGCTGATATCTTGCTAGCTTCAAGCGAAAAACCCGCAAATGATACAAGCAGGTAGGTGCCCAAGGCAAAGAAAACACTGCGCGCAGCAGCTCACACGCACTCCTCGCCACGCATAGCTTGTCTCTGCATCAGCAAAGGAAAAAAAAAAGGAGGAAAAAAAAATTGTAAGAAGCATAAAGCAAAAAAAGAGTAAGAAGCGAAATAAGACGTTCCATCTTGATCTGTGCAAAACATTCTAACGAGCATAACAAACAACAAAAACAAAATAAAGTGAATGGCAAAAAATTACAACAATAAAATGGCAAAGAAAAAAATTGCGGTGGCTTAGCTCGGCTATGCCAGGATATACGGAGCGTGAGTTTATGCGCACAAAATGAGAGGCGCTATCAAGCAGCTTTGGTGCAGCAACAGACTTGGTTACTGCACAACGGAGGCACAAAGCTGTGCACGCGGCGGCGCCAGTGCGTCTGCCGCGGCTATGACGTCACTCGTCTGGAACGCGAAGACCGGCGAGGCGCGCGCGGTGGCGGCGAAGCCCGCGGCGGCAGCGGCTCCGGCACGCCAGCTGTGCGCCGTGTGACGTCACTGGTCCTCGCGCTTCCGCAGCACGAAGCATGGTTCATTATGCGAGCCACGCGAAACTGCTCAACCTCGGCCAGTGTAGCTCACGCTACAAAAATGCTCGAGGTACACCTAAGCACTTCTTTTGAGTTGTGAATGCGAAAGCACGCACGTCGCTCTTCGCTCCCTTCTTTAATCTGCGGCGTACAACGCGCTGACCTTGGGCGTGAAACGGTCGAGCCGCTGCCTCGCGGACACGCCGCGCCATCGGGTGAGCGATCGTTCAAACTGACGCGCAGCAGCCAATGAGACCGAAGCTGAAAATTTATCAGCTTTACTTCGCTTCTTTGGGATCGGGGAAACTAGGTGCCGTGTCTAGGCTTTTTGCGTGGTTTCATAGCTGGGAGCTGGCTACACTTGGAGAAAAAATTTAAGGTGCCGTTTTCTCACTTTACACTGATGATATCGGCTCGCTCCATGAGACAGTTAATGCTTTCGCATTAAAAAGATAGTACAGGGGCCCTAAGCTGGACGCTTGGCGAAAACGACGGCGAGAAATCTGGCGGCCGCGATTGGCCAACGCCCACTTGCCCTTGGCGCCGGCCAATCATAGCCGCCGAATTTCTCGCTGATTTTTCCGCCAAGTGTCCAGATTAGGACCCCAGGGCTGTCAAAGCACAGCATTATTGCACAACCACCGTCCATCCGTTAAACCAACAAAAAAGATTTTGAAATCTTTTTTCTTTATTTGCGGTTAAGGCAAATGCACAAAGCTTTCTTTTCCTTCTGTGTCCTGCTAGCAAATGTATCTCTCTTGTTTTAAACACAAACACAGTATTTAAGAAAATAATCTTTTTTTAATGCGAAAGCATTAACTGTCCGATGGAGCGAACTGACGTCATCAGTTCAGTGCATGAAAACGGCATTTAGTTTCCCCGATCCCAAAAGGAGCTAAGTAAAGCTGATGGATTTCGCCTTCGCTTCCATTGGCTGGTGTGCATTGACGGGGCTCCCACTGGCCACTGCACTCGTCAGTTTCCACAACCGCTCACCCCATGGCGCTGCGTGTCCATCAGCGCGCCAATACCAGGGAGCATCCAAGATTAGCGTGCCCAGGGGAGTATGCGCGCTGACTGGCGACAAAAAGTACTCAGCAGACGAGAAAAAAGAAGCAGACGAGCGGCTTGCATGCTTTCGGATTCACAACTCATAAGAAGTGCTTAAGCGTACCTTGAGCTTTTTTTTTTTTTGTTTTTTTTTTTTGTTTAAAGCGATAGTTTTATGGGTGACACTTTGGAGGGATTTTGGTGTCGCTGTTTGCTGCTGTGTGTTGTCGCAGCGGAGATGGAAAGAAAAATTATTTTATATCCCCTCGTGGTGCGAAAAGAGAGAAGTCAAGTGTTTCCACTGGCTGCACACACCGTAGCCGCGCAAAAAGGGAAGATTATGCGTTCCCTCTCTGCTCATTGCTGAACAACAACGTCGCACCCTCCCTTTACCAATCAACAACACCGAGAAAACCTGCGCCTTTGCTGGCGTCGTTACTTGCACAGCCTCCTTCCAATGGCGCTGCCACTGCACCAAGGCTGTACTCTGTCCCAGGAGGGAGCTCAGAAGGAACGGCTGGCTTCCGCGGCCCTCATAGGCGAATACCTTCGATGTGGCCGACCCAGCCAACCCGCAAGACGTTTCGCCGATTTTGTGCTTCGTCTATTCCGTGCCCTGCGACGACATCCCACTCGTCGTAACCGGCAATTTCAACGTCGACCTTGAGATCCGCAGCAACAAGTCGACATCCCACTCATCGTAACCGGCAATTTCAACGTCCACCTTGACATCCGCAGCAACAAGTGGTTAGGCAGCCTCGTCAAGACAGAATTGGACCTCTGCGCGGTGTCCAATGTCGGAGTGCCAACAACAGGTGTTGACACCACCATCGACCTTGTGCTTACGAAGAACATTGACACGTGCCCTCAATGTCTCGCCTTACCCACTTACTTTACCAATCATCCGAGCAATTGTGGCAGTCGTCGGTGAAATCCACCGCGCCAACCACGACGGGAATGTGCATTAACCACTTCGCACCTCCGTCCTCAAATACACGACAACACTATTTTGCGTGCATTGCGCAAACGTGCTTCAGCTATCACTTTTGCTCGCAGATTATGGACGAAAAAGGGTGCCTTTTTTATCTACTATAGACTTTCATCTGACAAAATATTTTTTGAAGACGAGTGCAGTAAAAAAATGCCTACTACAGTCGAACCTGGATATATGAATACAAAGAGGATAGTAAAATAGTTTGATATATCAGTAATTTTATATACAAAAATACGTTGAACTAAGCTCGAGCTGAAATTTCCTGGCATCACTGCTAAAATCGAAGGTTGCGACAAACGGGAGTTTATTAAATAGAGCACCCAAGAGCCGCTAAATACAGTAGACCGTAGTTGGCAGAGACCGAAAACACCGCCGCGCTTACACGCGCACCTGGCCGGGATCTCCACACAGCATAAACAAAATTCGAAAATAATAAAACAAATGAAAGAAAAGTGGAAAAGTGAGAATTGTAAAAAAATTGCTTGATAAAAAAAAAATAAAAAATTAAGCGAGCGACAAAAAAATAAGTTCTCTAAAATCAGGCAGCAAAAAAAAGAAGAAAATGGTCAAAGCAATAACAGCAAAAAAAAACAAGGTAAACAAAGATAAGGCATTCAAAGTGCGATTACACAATTGCTGTTGTCCACACACTCAACTTTTTTTTTTTGTTTCTTTTATTTGCCGTGGCTAGTGTTACGTCCGGACAAAGCACTGAAACGCCTAGACCTAACCCCCCTCCGCCTTCCGCTCTCTCTCCCACATGAACCTAGGGATGGTGGAGATTTGAATGGAACTTGGGTTGCGTCGGACGTAACGCTAGACACTTCATGCTTTTATTTTAGGGCTAGGGAGCCGCACAGCATCGGAAGTGTTCGGGGAAAGGGCGCAGGCTACCATTCTGACAGTAAAAACTTCCTGCTCACCCGAAGCCCGCGCGTGCCCGTCCCCTTGCTTCTGCCATCCCCCACTTTTTGTTTTTTTTTACAACACATTTTTTTTTTTTTTGCAACTGCTCTTTTACTGTGTATCTTCCGGTGTGCATGCTGGCTTGGCGGCCCGTCAGCCATGCAACGCAAGCAATGTGCTCGCCACCGGCGAGCACATTGCGAATTATAGCGAACAAAGCACGGGCGGCCGTGCTTTGTTCGCTATATCGAGTGTCCCCGCCCATGGGAGCTGGATACAAAAAGACAACGCCTATACTATTACAAGGGATGTTCAAGGGGAAGTTTGGACTGTTCGATATAAGCGATAATTTGGAATACCCGAGTGTGATATAACCAGGCTTGACTGTAGTAGTTGCTGTTTCTCCAAGTATACATTGCAAAATTAATATCTAGCGATAGTAGTCATTAGAGAGCTTTAGGATAACGTAAGCAATTTTAGCGCACGCTAGCGCTAAATTTAGCGCTTGTATTAGCGCACGCGACGCGGGAGAGTTTTAGAATAGCATTTCTTTGTCACAACGCAAAAGAACAAAGCATCTCGCGCTTGCGACGCCACCAACATACAGTCATAATTTTTATTTCACACACGAAATGCTGTGACTTTAGAAGAAACAAGTTTTTTGGTCCAGAGTACCATTTTAGATTTGTTTAAACATGAGAATGCAACGCAAGCGGTTGACCAGTCGTGCCCGCTTGCGTCGCCTCGGCAAGAGACATCTCGTGTACTGACCTTCGCCGAGAAGTGTTCGCGCGTCACAAGCATCATGTTGCCGGTGATCGTTGCCAAACCAAGTACAATTTCGTCTCGTATTGAAAATCACAGTCGCGAGGATGCCGCCGACGTCGCACTCACGCCGCCGCCAAAGCAGCCAGCGACATAATCCTGGGAGCTGCCATTTTTTTAGCTCAGCTCGTCTTGGCTTTAGCCAACTTCTCATCACGAATCCTCCTTGCAGAAATGCAGACTCTTTGCGCGCGCAAGCTATTTCCGAGAAATAGCGTACGCTAAAATTGCACACGCAAAGCACAAAACCTGGTTTGCGTTTCGAGCATGCGCAGTGGCGACGACGCTATTCTTTGCGTACGCAAAGCTTTAGCGTGTGCTATTCTAAAACTCCCTATTTTTTCACCGACATTTATAAACCATTTGTTTTCTGAACTGCAGCTGCTTGTTGCATTTAGCTTTGAACCCTTGATTCTCACGCAATTCTCGGGTGTTACGTCATGTTGGGCTACTATACAATGTTGGCTCCAAACATGCTAAAGCCTCGCCTATGGTTCTAAAATTTCAGCTGCTTTTTTCGTTACATGTATACTCGACATTCAAAGTTAGTTTTTCAATTATTTGTACGCAGTTTGTAAAAAAGATACAGTATAGACCACTTACAACGTAACCACTTATAGTGCAGGACCGGGTATAACGCGGTTTTTTTAAACCACCGGTTCACCTCCCATAGAACTCCATGTATTTACATACCGCTTAAAATGCAGGCGCGCGAAGGGAAATACCGGTTATAGTGCGGTTTTTGGCACAGCCCGCCGACCGCGCCGACGACCGGAGCAGCGAGCTCGCTTCCCTGTGCGACACTAGATAACGGCGCTGACGGCGCGAGCCGCAAACTGCACTCGCGGGGCATGGAGGTTGCTCGAAAACTCGGGGAGAAGCGAAGAGAGAGGCTTCAGTTGCCATAGCGACGGAGGGACGCACGCACGAGTCGTTCACGTGCGTGCGTCTCTCCGCTGCGTTGGAAACAAAGAAACAAACAACCGCAACGACAGACCAATCGCAGGTCGAGGAGAAGTGTTCGCGCGCGTTGCATGCCATTCCGTGAACATGGCGTCGGTTGTGATCGTCGTCGTAGACGGCGTACATCTCATCGTTCTGCGTAAAAGCGCTATCCTTGACTCTGAATTTTCGTTGTGTGTCGCTATGATAACCCAGCACGTACTAGAAGGGAGGATCCACCTACTCGTGCGGCGATGTCGTGGCGGCGCTCTCAAGACGGCAGAAACGCCCGTGTCGTCGTGTTTGTTTACTTCGACTACAGTGGTGATTTCTAAGCATTTGTGTCCTCGAACATCGCCCGGATTTCTTATTTGGCGCATTTCATGCGTGTGCTCAAGTTCAAGGTATTACTGGCGCGTACCGTATGAAGGATGCGAATTTTCACGCGTTTTCATCTCCGGAGAAAAGTGATTAGGGTTAGCAATCCTGAACGCTCGCAACGTCCGTCCGCAACCCGCGACGCCGTTAAAAGGCTGCGCCAGGCAAAAGCCGCTAATTTCTTTTAAAATGTGTGACACACTTGAGACATAACTGTACTCGTCTATTGAAATAAAGACTTTCCTCAAACTAAGCTTATTTTTTCATCTAACATAAAATAAATTCTTTTACAAAGGTAAGTTGTCTCATGGCATGTATTTTGGCCTGAAAAATTGATGTTTTGGTTATGTGCGGTACCGCTTATAGTGCGGATTTTCGCGACTCCCGAGACATACGTTATATGCGGTCTACACTGTATTTCTAAATTTGCACAGCCCTACTCCGGTTCCCGATAGAAGCTGCTGCACACTCGTTTCAGACGAGTGAGCTTTGACTCCCTACGCAGACCTTCTCCCCAAGTCCCTGGAACTCACCGAGATAGTGGCCACGCAGGTGCCCCAGTCTGGGAGGGTCTCCGGCAGGATGCTGTTGAGGCCCGTCTTCAGGATGGGCTCCATGGCCTTGCGCAGCTCCTGCATCTGCTCACGGGCCCCGAGAGAAGACCGCTTACTCATTGGGAAAGAAGGACAAGGAGGAATGGGCAAACAAAACATGTCTTTCAACTGCACCTCAGATGAAACCACATGTGCCCTCATATTTAAGAACACGTGAAAACAGACATTTGATGAGTTTCAGTATCCTACCATCAATGCCCTTCGTGCGTTGGGGACAATAGGGAGTTTGAGTCATAGAGTTATTGCAATAAACGCTAGAGGTTCAGGTGGCGCTAGTGTGCTGATGCATTTTGAAGCAGACAGCAAGCAGTCTAAATTTGACTTCTGGTAATGCACTCCTATGGGAGAACGCAAATGTGTTTTCTCTTTGCGCTAGATTATAAGAGCAAATATTGCTTAATGTTGTAAAAGAATAAGAAGTTTGGAACGTTTTACAATTGGACGTACAAAAATATATGTCAGTTAGAGCGTTTTTCTTTGAAATTCGTGGCGTTGAAAACTGCGCTAAAATAGCCCAATGCGCATGTATAATACGTGTTGACGTTACAGACTTAAGCTTGACAAAACACCAAAAGGATGCCAATTTATGCCAAATCAAACAATCAAAACCAACAACAAGAACGAAGCATGGAGTTGCGGAACGAAGCACACGTACTGGATTAGTAACAAACTGTGCATTAGAAAGAAACTGCGTTTCCATCATCTGAATGCTATTATAACTTGAATAAACCCTACGCACTTTTTAATTGTTCTTTTAAAGAGCAACTCTTAGGGGTCCTCGGGTTGAGCGGCGTCCCCGTCGCCGTAACCGCACGTTGCATTATAGGACGTGTGACGTCACACATTATGTCATGAGGGTTACCCTCGTAAAGGTAACCCCCGTGAGGGCCCGAGGGTAACCCTCACAGGGGCTACCCTTACGAGGGAAACCCTCAAAAGGGTTATCCTCACGAGAGTAACAGGGAACTCCGCCGATTTTTCGGTAGACTTCGATTTGGCTGGAAATTTGCAGACCGCGTCAATAACCCCTTCTCAAATGATAACCAAAATATTTTAAGAAAGGAAGAATTTTCCGTGAAGTTATTGAATTTTCAAGTTACGCCGGCCGCGAGGGTCCCAGGAGGCGACTCTCTACTGGCAACAATGAAAAATCCCTACTTTTCCCTACCCGCGTACGTCACGAATGTGCAGGCAGACGAGCGACTCGGGCAGCCGCGGCCCGCAAAGTGGCTTTCCGGACGCCAGCGATTGAGATAATTTTTCCGCAGCTTCAAGGTTGAAAGTTCCTTTGCAATGGGTAGCAATCTGTGCTCCGCGGTAGATTATAGAAACAGTGCGGGGAAAAAGCTTCTTTTTTTACCCTTGTTTTCGTGGGAGGAAAAAAAAAAAGCGTTCCCCCGCAGCAATGGAGGCCAGCCGCGTCAAGGTACTTTTGCGCGAGCTGTGTGCCAAGAAAACTAGTGTCACGTGAAATATTTTCACTTTTGCTCAAAATACTTTATAGCCGCGTGCTGCGAGTTGAGTTTCCTTCAGCAACTGAAACAGCTTCAAGAGCGGCAAGCGCAAACTCAAGCCGGCTGTGACCATTACGACACCCGTCTAAAGAAGGGCGCTAATAATATGGAGAAATATACAGTAAAACCTCGTTATAACAAAACGGGATATAACAAACTAATGGATATAACAAAGCAATCATAGTTCCCCTTGCTTGCTAATAGTGGGAAGAAATGGACATTGGCTATAACAAACTAATGGTTATAACGAAATAATTACGATTGCTCCTTCAACTTTGTTATAACGAGGTTTTACTGTAGTACACGATCTAGCACAATAGTCGACATTTTGCACAGTCACATTTGTTATTCACAATTGGTTCAGTGATTTTTTTATTTTTTAATTGTTTTTTTTATAAACACTATATTTGTTTCGGACGTCAAATCTAGCTCGGGCTACTCTCGGAGTTCCACTCACGCGGCCGATATGTTGAAGACGAGAAGTGAAACGTCTAAACAAAGTTCAAGTCTGAATTTAGACATGACTTTCGACACATTGCTATTCCTGTCTGATATTGCAGAGGTTTATGAAGCAGGTGTTAAGCTCCATTAAAATACGATAGAGCCTTGCCTGGTTTGTTAAATGGTTGGTGTGCAATATTCTTTGCAAAAAAAGTGGTGAAAACGTCTTCAATTTATTCTATTGCGGAGACATTTTATATAGGGCTGAAAAGTTCTTTTTTTAACCATGAAAATATTAATGTTGTTGAAGGGAAGCATTTCAGATCTACAGCTGATGAAAACTGTGCTAAACCAACTTAATTTGTAAAAAAAATCTTATATAGAATTACCCTTTTCCCAAGTGCTCTCGTGGATGGGTGCTTGAACGCGTTGCATTCTACTCAGAAAGTAAAGAGAAAAAATACGGGTACACATCTTTTAGCAACTTTTGTTAACTTATTTTTAATTAAAAGATTTATGATGTCTTTCTGTACCTCACACACTATTGTATCTTCAAGCAAATATTCTTTATTTTGAGATGAGCAGTGTATTTGTGTATTTTATACGCATTCCAAACCAATCCCATGACCTGTATTCAACACTTCTACAATACCCTCGGGGGAGCAGATATTGATGTTTTTAACCCAAATTTCGTAGCTTTCAAGCCTGTTGTAACTAACCTGTGAACATTTTGTTGTGCATCATTACCAAGGCGTCAAGCTGTTCATGAGCACAGAAAATAAACAAATGAATTAATGAATGAATTCCCTTGTACCTTGATGTTTGGCTTGGTGGTTGCGAAGTTCTTTTAATCGTCATTTTAACACGATCTTCACGACCAGTAACCTGCCATCTGATCAACACGAATGCAGTTCATTCTATTCTATACATTTCATTGTTTACGACAATCACAGTCTACGTGTCTTAGGTCCCAGCCCAGCACGAACATGTTCATCGCTTTGGAGGGCGAGCAATGTACGCACCACACGCACGAACGCTGAAAATGGTATCGACCAGAAGCGCTTTTCAGAAATAGTCTATAGATCTTTTGCTAAATTACTTAAGCACCAAGGAGCATATTCATGCCACATGAGTAGTTACACGTGCCGACGCCTGCAACAGCAACTTTTCAAAAGGAGATCTAGAACAAATGGCAGGTTCCTTCAGGTCATACGATCGTGTGGGGCATCTGTACCCACATTCCGAGCATTTTCCGCGGTGCTTTGGCAATTCGTCAAAAAATGTATGGCGTGACTCTTCGACCTTTCTTCGCCAGCCATCTTCTAATAAAAGGAGAACGGGTTTACTGGCGATATTACGAAACTAGCGAGCCGCGGCTTGAGCGTAGCGAGTTGCAAAAACGGTTTTATGAAAATTCCAATTGCTTCCGTTTTTCTTTTATTTCTATTTACTTTCTTATAGTTAGGCACGTAGGCCAAGGCCATACTTTGTGCAAATATAGATAATTATCAGCTGCAAACAGCACGAACGGCCAGGTTCTTTTGCTGTTAGACGCGAGAAAGGCGGGCGCGAGCGTACCCGATTGCCGGCCGCGCGCCTCGCTGCGCACAAGTGACGTCACGCTTGGACGGCGGGGAAGACTGGGGAACACCTAAGGAGAACGATGTTTCGGTGTTGGCAGCAAACAAAATATCACTTTTTTAATTAACGAGAGTGAATTTGGGAGAACGAGATAGCATTTCGGAATCAGGAAGCCATCCGCATTCAGATTACGCCTTTGGATTCGTTAGCTCAAAATGTCAACGGAGTTCCCCTTTAACCTTTTAACGGTTACTCTCGTGAGGGTTACCCTCGCGAGGGTAGCCCCCGTGAGGTTTACCCTCACGAGAATTATGTTACCCTAAAGGGAGTGAGGGTAGGGTAACCTTAATGAGGGTTATCCCCACGAGGGTAATTCCCACGAGGGTTACTCCCGTAAAGGTTGCTTTCATGAGGGCTACCCTCACGGAGATTACGTTACCCTCACGGGGGTAAGGGTAACCCTCACGAGTGTCACGAGGGTAACGTCAAAACGTTACTCTCGTGACGCCACATGTGTCGTCCTTATGGGAAACACGGGACGTATGACGTCCACAAATCTAACATTGCCAATATTTCCGCTAAATTTAGCGGGGAAGGAGGAGGCGCATACCCTTCCCCCCGTACCCTCCCTCCTTTTGAATTGATAGCTTATAATTGACATATCATAGCTGAACAACATAGAACTGGGCCTTAATTTTGGCTAACTTAAACATTGCTCAGTAGTAAAAAAAAAACGTTAACTAAATAAATTACACTATTATAATGCGAATAAAGCCACATAGTACCCGTTACGAGTAAAAAAACTACGCTGACTTCTATTATTCCCTGGCGAAGAGAAAAATATTACGTACGTTTTCCCATAGGAATACACAGGAAGACTGCAAAAGTAGACTGCTTCCTGTCTGCTTCAATTTGCAACCTGAAGTCCCGCAGAAACTAATCCCAGCTGAGCCTCTAGCATTTATTGTAATAACTCTATGGTTTGAGTAGATAGTTTTGGCTCTCCGTTAACCCATTCGCTACCAAAGCCAACGAATCGCCGGGTCTGCCGTCAGGGGCCATATTGCCAAAGCCGGCGATTCGCCGGTCTACATGAATTTCTCTTTTAGAGAGCCATTCATAGATGGCGTGCTATGTAAACTAGGGGTAGGGAAGTTAGATACATTGCCAACAGATGGCGAGGGTGGTTCTGTCCGCTTTGTTTGTTTGAGCTTGTTCTTTTGTGAGTCATCTTTCCTCCACGATCGCTGCCTCCTTGGAGATGGCAGCGTCCAGTGTACGGTGTAGCTTTTCTGATGATGAAATCATAGATATCCCCTTTGACAGCGATGATAACGGGACGTCTGGTGAGGATAGCGAGTTTTTGGAGCCTTCTGTCGACGACGGTAGCAATTTCGACAGCATTTCGGAGTCCGAATCACGACAAGAGCGCACTGGTTGTGCGACGCCTAAGCGACTAAGGATGGAGTGCTTCGGGATCTTTCATAA